AAGGAATGGAACAGATTACCTGCACATGTCAAAGGCAGTCATAGCATGAACCAGTTCAAGAAGAGAGCCAAAAGGTACCTAATTAATGTAGCTACAGAAAGGGAGAATAATAATTTTTATATATTTTTAGCTAATACTCATGTACAGTATATGTAAATAACTCTTTTTACCTTATTCCTAGTATATACCCTTTATATTATAATAATAATAATAAGATATTATATCCTTTATAGTATAATATAGTATAGTAAAGAAACACTGGTAAATAGGCTACACAATTGTGACTGGACAGAGATAACAAGTTGCACGGACGCAAAAAAGATATTAAACTAAAGTGTGTGTGTGTGTGTGTGTGTGTGTGTGTGTGTGTGTGTGTGTGTTGTCTGTCTGTCTGTCTGTCTGTGTGTACTCACCTATTTGTGGTTGCGTGCGTGTGTGTGTGTGTACTCACCTATTTGTACTCACCTATTTGTGGTTGCGTGCGTGTGTGTGTGTGTGTACTCACCTATTTGTACTCACCTATTTGTGGTTGCAGGGGTCGAGTCTTAGCTCCTGGCCCCGCCTCTTCACTGGTTGCTACTGGGCCCTCTCTCTCCCCGCTCCATGAGCTTTATCAAACCTCGTCTTAAAATTGTGTATGGTTCCTGCCTCCACTACGTCATTTTCTAGGCTATTCCACTGCCTTACAACTCTATGACTGAAGAAATACTTCCTAATATCTCTCTGACTCATTTGTGTCTTCAACTTCCAATTGTGGCCTCTTGTTTCTGTGTCCCCTCCCTGGAACATCCTGTCTTTGTCCACCTTGTCTATTCCACGCAGTATTTTATATGTGGTTATCATGTCTCCCCTGACCCTCCTGTCCTCCAGTGTCGTCAGGCCGATTTCCCTTAATCTTTCTTCATAGGACATTCCCCTTAGCTCTGGAACTAACCTTGTGGCAAACCTTTGTACTTTCTCTAGTTTCTTGACGTGCTTTATCAAGTGCGGGTTCCAAACAGGTGCTGCATACTCCAGTATGGGCCTGACATACACGGTGTACAGTGCCTTGAACGATTCCTTACTAAGGTATCGGAATGCTGTTCTCAGGTTTGCCAGGCGCCCATATGCTGCAGCAGTTATCTGATTGATGTGTGCTTCCGGAGACATGCTCGGTGTTATACTCACCCCAAGATCTTTCTCCTTGAGTGAAGTTTGCAGTCTTTGGCCACCTAGCCTATACTCTGTCTGTGGTCTTCTGTGCCCTTCCCCTATCTTCATGACTTTGCATTTGGCAGGATTAAATTCGAGAAGCCATTTGCTGGACCAGGTGTCCAGTCTGTCCAGGTCTCTTTGAAGTCCTGCCTGGTCCTCATCAGATTTAATTCTCTTCATTAACTTCACATCATCTGCAAACAGGGACACTTCTGAGTCTAACCCTTCCATCATGTCGTTCACATATACCAAAAATAGCACTGGTCCTAGGACCGACCCCTAGGACTCGTTTTGGTCTTCCTATTATTTCTGTGTGTGTGTGTGTGTGTGTGTGTGTGTGTGTGTGTGTGTGTGTGTGTGTGTGTGTGTGTGTGTGTGTGTGTGTGTGTGTGTGTGTCAACAATCAATATTTGCACCAATAACTCATTACAGTTGTGACCGGGTGTGGAAGTGTGAATTGCTCATTACACTATAATTTGTTCATGATTGTAGCCATGTATAAACGTAAGTAACCATTCTTACAGAATTCATTACCTTTGTAACTTGTGAGCTCATTACCTTTGTACCTAGTTCAGCTATCAAAACTTTGGGGGCCCAGTCCCTGGACCCATTACGTACCTCTGTAATCTGTAAATACCTTTGTAACTTGTCATGATTGTGACCAGACCTACCTGGAGTTCATTACCTTTGTAAATTGTGAGTTCATTACCTTTGTAAATTGTGAGTTCATTACCTTTGTAAATTGTGAGTTCATTACCTCTGTAACTTGCTCAGCTATCAAAACTTTGGAGTCCAGTCCCTGGACCAATTATGTACCTCTGTAATCTTTTGACTACCGCCCACAGGATGGGTATGGGGTGCATAATAAACATATTAAACTAACGTAAACGATGCCTGGGAAAAATTCAAAACAATGTTCACTACCATCCTTGATAATATTGCTCCAGTTAAAGAGGTTAGGATTAAACGAAGAACTGAGCCCTGGATGAATACTGAGATATTAGATAATATGAAATTCAGAGACCAGCTGCTAAAAAAGATTTAAAGCAAACAAACAGGATATTGCAGCACTAAATGAATTCCAAAGGGTGAGGAACAGAGTACAGAGACTTATAAAAGGAGCAAAGGCAAAGCACTATTGCTCAAAAATTGAAGAGTATAAGCATAACCCCAGAAAGCTCTGGCGACAACTAAAACAGTTGGGGTATAGCCATAATCCAGTAGATAGGTCTAGCATAGTACTCACTATCGATAATGAGGTACGCCACGAAACATCTAAGGTGGCAAATTACTTTAATTCCTACTGTTGCATCAACACTAGTAAGTAAACTACCAGCTGCATCAAATACCTTTAACACAGACTCTGAAAAGCTTCAAACATACATTACCAATAAAGGGGTAACCCCAAACAGTTGTCAACTAGTAAGTGTATCTCATGACTTTATTCAAAAAGAACTAAGCAGGTTAAACCCAACTAAGAGCACTGGCCCGGATAACATCCCGTCTAAGTTCCTAAAAGATGGTGCTTCTGAACCGTCAATCCCTATTGCTCACATATTAAATCTATCAATCACCACTAATACCGTACCGGAGGGGTTCAAGGAGGCCAGAGTTACTCCTATCTTCAAGAAAAATAGTAGGTCTGATGTAAGCAACCATAGGCCTGTTAGTATGCTCAGTATAATATCTAAAATTCTAGAGAGGGCGGTGTACTCTCAAGTAGTTAAGTTCCTTAATGACAACAACATTCTCCATAGCTATCAATCGGGCTTTAGAAGAACCTACTCATCTGACACCTCCCTTATTAATCTGATGGATTACCTGAGAACTGAAATGTCAAAGGGGAACCTCATAGGTATGGTAACCTTAGACCTGCAAAAGGCCTTCGATACTGTCAACCACAATATATTATGTAAGAAACTTCAAGCTATCGGTATAGGTTCTGTAGACTGGTTTAAGTCCTACCTTAGCAACAGGAGACAAATAGTCAAAATCAACAAAACGTAATCAGAACCCCTGCCGATAACATGTGGAGTTCCCCAAGGTAGTATTCTGGGTCCCTTATTATTCTTATGTTATGTCAGTGACATGCCTATCAGTGTCAAGTGCAAACTCCTACTGTATGCAGATGACAGTGCTCTGTTAGTGTCAGGTAAATACCCACAAGATATTGCTAATGTTTTAACACTGGAACTGGAGTCCTGCAGCAAATGGTTAGTAGACAACAAACTATCATTACACCTCGGGAAAACTGAAGCCATTCTCTTTGGCACGAAACATAAGCTGAGAAGGGTAAATAATTTTAATGTTCAGTGTAATGGGGAGCCCATCACTTTGGTTTCATCAGTAAAATATCTGGGAATCCCCTTTGACCCATGCATGTCAGGAGAATTGATAGGGAACAATGTAGTAAAGAAAGCGAATGCCAGACTGAAGTTCCTGTATAGACAAGCACAGTGTCTACCTACTGAGGCTCGCAGGACACTATGTCTAGCCCTTATACAATGCCATATGGATTACGCTTGCTCTTCATGGTACTCTGCCTTGACAAAAAAAACTGAAAGATAGACTGCAAATCACCCAGAACAAAATCGTAAGATCATCCTGGGGCTGGACCAAGAGAACATGTAGGCCAGGATGAATTACAGCAGTTGGATATGCTGAATGTTGAAGACAGAGTAAAATAACTGAAGCTAAATCATGTTTATAAAATTGCTCACAAACAGTGTCCAGAATATCTTGCTGTCAATTTTGTCAAGGTTGGGAACCAAAGCAATCATAGTACTAGGGGGAGGGAGCACAAATTTGTAGTACCCACAGTCAGTGGCCAGGCTTCAAACACCTTTTATTGTACAGCAATAAAGGAATGGAACAGCCTGCCTGCACATGTCAAAGCCAGTCTTAGCATGAACCAGTTCAAGAAGACTGCCAAAAGGTGTCTGATGAATGTAGCTACAGAAAGGGAGGGGAATGATTTTCTCTTTTTTTAGCTAACATACGTGTAAATTTTACCTTATTCCTAGTAATGACCCTCGTATTGTAGATAGTCTTAATGACCCTCGTGTAGTAGATAGTCTTTTTAGTATGATAATAAGATGTTATCTTCATTGTAGAATAATAAGAAAATATTATAACCTTTATATTATAATAATAAGGTAAAAGAACACCAATGGAAATAAGTCACTGTGTCTGACTTTTTTGGGTTATCCTAGGTTCTCTACACATATGCTGCTATGTATGATAATTCTATGTAACTTTTTAGATTTTGCCACCGAAGTGGCTAGTTTATTGTGCACCCCATATCCATCCTGTGGACGGTAGCGCGAGAGCATATGGATACACAAAAGGCCTAGGAACTAGGCCCCAAAGGGTTAACAGGAATACATATGGATTTATATCTACATATCTATAGTTCACTTATCTGCTGCAAGCAAATTTAGGAAATTTGCTTAGTATATCTGGTATCTTATTTTCATTAATAAGATATCTTGACATGTCACATAGGTTATTATACTGTCTGTCTCTGTATTCTATGTAACTGTATTTGTGTATACCTGAATAAACTTACTTACTTACTTACTAAGGTATTAAAAGGACCCCAATGGAAATAAGTCCCTCTGACTTTTCTGGGTTATCCCAGGTTCTCTACACATATGCTGCTATGTATGATAATCTATGTTACTGTAATTGTGTATACCTGAATAAACTTACTTCCAGCCCAGATTCGGGCAACATATTTTACCCGGATTCCCGGGAGTCAATGTTCAATAAGGCACAAGCTTCAGTGGCTCTTAACAACCCAACAACATAACCTTAGCAACACATGGCAACGATGTGTTTATACACAACATTCTAGTGTTGAGGAGGCGTTGGGTTGCCATGCTGAGAAGACACCTCTGAGGAAACTGCACATATTGTAAAGAAGAAGAAAGGTTTCATCACGTAATTTGTCCTAGACGTGAAGAAGGCAGTCATGATGTTGCAGAATGTCCAGATCAGAGACGGGGAATACACCAAAACCATATACTCGTTGGTTGGTGAAAGTTATTGAATAATTTACAGCTTACTTTTCCATAAAATAATATTGTTTGGTAACAGTAGATGACTGCTCCTTGGTGGATTTCGACAATTTATAATTTGATTAGTACAATCTTAAGTTGGTTTTACAGATGACAATACTATTTTGTGCAATAACCCCATTGGAAATAAGTCACTTGAACATTTTTGGTTATCCTAGGTAATTTACACTATGATAATTGTACTTATGTGTACCTGTGCCTAAATAAACTTACTAACAAGACGTAACCTAATCAAAGGAAACCCACCTAACCCAACCTAAAAATGACAGTGTAACTTAACCTACTTTGCCATCGGTAGATATGCATCTTTACATTCAGCTAACACCCGAAAAACTCTGTAATAAGCATTTATTGGTTCAAACATGCTGCATGACCAAAATAAATGTACTGTGCTATTTTACACATACATAGTATCTCCTGAAACAAAATTTTCCAACCTACATATGTGAGCTGTATGTATTGTAAAATGTAAACTAATATGTACCTGAGTTTTGCCGAGTACTGTAGTAGTCATGACTATAACCAGTTACATATTTTTCTGTACACTTATTTTTCCATGAGTTTATTTTTAAATAAGACATAATTACTTTTTCCACAAGATATGATATTCTTCACCGAAAAAAAAATTCTTCGAGATAAAATTAACTTTATACAAGATAAGATTATCTCTCCACAGGATACCATCACTCTTCCACAAGCTAATAATTTTTGCACATGATTAGATTATTTATTTCCAAGATAAGCTTACCTTTTCGCAATATAAATATTTTTTCATAATATTTTTCCATTAACATATCTTGTCCCATTGTATGTCTATTGTAACTAAGTAATTTACTGTATCTTTACCATCTCTGTTCAATCACTCCACAAATATAAGTGCTTCCTTTTGATTATAATAATAATAATAATAATAATGTATCAGTTTGAAATAATATGTACTTTTGTAAGTGACCATTTCTTTATTAGCTACTGTTCTTATACTTATGTTTGTAGGTAACTACATCAGAAGTCCTACTTAATAATCTATATCAAGAACTTAAGTAACATTTAAGCATTAGGGTTAGTTTGTCTGAAATGCATTGCATACTAGTGACTCTTTTGTCCCTATTAGTGTTTTATTACATGTAAACTACATTATTTGTACTGCATAAAGAAACAAAAATTGTATTATAATGTAACTATAAAGTTTTTAAAATTCCTGTGAATGTTAAGTTTGTTGTTGTAGCTGAAATAGTTGAGGATTACAGCATTATCTCACTACTGGAAACGTGTTATCAAGGTGCCATTTTGATGTAAAAAAAGTAAGCTCATTTTGGTATGAAGACATGACATGGATTGCAACTCTTTATTATAGATGTTTTGCTCAAAATTGAACTTAATCAAGCTGTGTAGTTGTTCCATGAGGCCTGGACAATTAAAAGTGAAAACTGTTTTCAAATACTCTTGCTATTAACTTCATGAAATAATAAATAAATAATAGTTCCAACAACATTAAAACCCACCAGAAACATCATGACTCTACTGTCATGCATAAAAATCATTAATTTACAACATTTGAGGTGTCAGTTTGCCAGCCTTGGCAGTGATATCAAAACTCACAAGTAAACACAGGTGAGGGAAAAATTAAGTTAGGTAAGATTATGTTAGGTTAGGATATATTAGGTTTAATGTTCTTAATGTTGTCAGTAATCCATTGCAGTACAGTATTTTGTTTGTAGTTTGTCATTTTTTTTTTTTGTCTTTTTGTTATTGTGTGTCATCGGACATTGTCATTTGATGTCCTAACTACCATAATCACGTAATGTACTTTTCACGTCAAGCTGGTTATTTACTCTGTTCCAGATTAAAGAGCAGCGATACAGTGAGGCTGTGCAGATACTTAACCATATTATAGAGTCTTACTCAAGTGTAAGTAGAGTTGTGTTTTGGCAAGCATTTTGATTTTCAACACTGCTAGCATATTAATTATTATTAACAAAGCTAATATTTTTGCGTTACTAACAGAGAATAGTTTCCAGCGCTATAACATTGGTGCTGTTACTGTAAACATTTTTGGCCATTCTGTTTATGAAATGTTAATATTACTAAAGGCCCCTCATCTCTTCCTTTTTAATATGACACAGTTTTCTTGGATTGCCTTGAACCTCGATATACATCCTAAAAATATTATTACACATGTAACAGTGATAATTATTACTGGTATATAGTATACAAGTCATGTGCTTGATTGAGATTTGCACTTTTGGGGTATTCCAATTGCCATATCATAGTAGATCATTGTGGAGTGTGCTCCTTCTGTATATTTCATGGGTAGAAGGTGTGATTTGGTTAGTGACCTTCTCTTTGTTAACTGAATATGTATCCAGGGAAAACGTTTTTGGTTTAGAAAAACACGTAAGCAAACACTAGGACATATTTATTAGAAAATTTTTTGGTCCTGGGACCTTGATCACTTGTAATATACAGAGGTTACAAGACAGTATATATTGGCGGAGAGTGGGTGTGAGTGATGTATGGTGACCTGAAGAATGCCATATTGGGGTGAGGATGGGTAGACGACAAGATCATGTGACTTGCATTGTTGGGTAGGTGGTGTTTTGCCTGGTTGAGTATCGTGTATGCTAACCTGGAGTTTATCTGGAGAGAGAATGTTTTAGAAATTTCGTAGTTTTGAGTATTACGCTCTGTTGGTATTTATTACCAAGGTTTATACCATCCTTTGAGAAAGTTTTTGATATGTGGAGGTCTCTAGACTTGAATTTTTTTATTTCATACTCATTCTCTCAGTAATATTTTTTTTTTTTTTTTTTTTTTTGCTTATCTAAATATCAGATTCATTCAAAAAAATAATTCTAGGGTGGCTAATTTATAATGGTAAAAATCAGTAAAATGACTTAAATTTTAACAAATACAGTACATTATATACCTTTGATATACCTTTGAAGAATTTCGAGAGTATATCTACTCTGAGCCTGGCCATGGGCCAGGCTCGTCCAGTGCTCGCCTGGTCAACCAGGCTGTTGCTTTTATTATGAACATGGGAAGCACAGTGCTCGCACTCAAGAATGAGTATGGATGTTGCAGGTCAGAGGGTCAAGAAACAGAAGTTCAGTTATGTGGAATCTGTTGTCAATAAAAGATTCTTTCAATTAAAGATATTCTTTATTTACAATACAGTATATGATTGAGTATAACTACATTTATGTTTCTAGACCAGTGTGACTGTATCTCATATTATTACTTGTCTAGGGGTCTGGGGGAAAATTTGACTTGTAATGTTCATGCAATTTTAGGAAGACAGCTATTGAATGAATGACTGTGAATGTGGTTTCCTTTTATGAGTCACCCCAACTTGGTGGAAAATGGCCTCTGTGGTAAGAAAAGGTTGTGGAAAAGTAAAAGGTGAGGATAAATTGATGCTATGCAAAATAACTGACAAACTTCAAACATGGTCACTGGACAGACGGTGATTTTTCAGTATACTGAATACTCTGCTGTGAAAAATATTGCAAGACTGTATGTAGGATACACCAGTGCTTAGTATTGTACCATATCTGTCATTAGCCATCCATTTGCCTGTTTTTACAACAGTGCCATGTAGGTTATCTGTGGTTAAGAAGACAGGCTGTTAGTTAATGTGGATTTTTAAATTAACAGTAGTTATTTAAATTAAGTGTTAAGTTTTCAGTGACTGTGTTATGTCCAATTATTGTGCAATGCATATTTATTCTTAGGGATGAGCTGTATATATGGGCTTAGTGCATTTTTTGTGAATACTGAATAATAATAATAATACCGTAATAATAATAATAATAATAATAATAATAATAATAATAATAATAATAATAATAATAATAATACTAGTGATATACAGAAATATGCTTAGAAAAGAAACCACTTCAAAGCCCATCAGTAAAATAGATTTAAGAGTCTTAATTGCAGAGTTCTAGTACTGTATAGATGCTTTGCCCATTCATTTTTGGATAACCTTTTTTGGCCAGGCACAGAATAATATATATGTAATAATAATACTTAATAGATATTAACAGTAGTGTACTGTATTATATGTAAAGGTCACATTTTGATTCTCACTGTTGTACTATATGTGTTTACATCTGGTGGATCACCTTTTATGCACATCTGCAAGATGACAGTAAGTGCCACTTAGATTATAGAACTTACATCATTTTGAACTTGCGCATGATTGCACCATCTTAATAATGCACAGCATGGGCCATCATTCTGCAAACAATGAGCACAGTATCTCGAGGAGTGTGCCAGGTGTTTATAAAAAAAAATTATCTTCCTAATGATGCTCTTTCACAAATTTGTCTAAATGTTGGCTTGAGTGTGTTTCTGTTAGTTTGAAAATTCTTAGATTTACGACACGAGTCAGTGGGTCCTCCTGTCAAGTGGGGGCACCATGCACATAAGCTCAGTTTTCCACTTATAGTAATTTTCTTATTCTCTGAATTGCTGTATTTTGTCAATATTGCAAATTTTTGCAGAGAAATGTTTTTTTTCAGCTATTTCTTCCATAATTTTCTGAGGCTTTACCTAAAGTAATTTTCTAATATTTTATGCAAATCTGGATATGATCAGTGTGGTATGTTGTAGCTCTTCCTCTTGAAATACTTGTGTGCCTTGTATTGCACTTTTGGTGAAGAATTTTACTTGTTTGTGTTAACAGCAGTGAGCAGTGGTGGTACCAAGGGGGGGGCTTGGGGGAGCTTCAGTCTCCCCCAACAGTTTTCATAAGACCCCAAAAGACCCTCCAAATAAAAATGCATATTAGTAATAATAACTGCTTCAAAACAAATCTCCTAGACTCCCCTCCGTTCCAACCAGATAGCCACCACTAAGCCTCCCAATATAGAAATTTTGGTGCCACCCCTGGTTAACAGTAAAGTCTCCATATCAAATATTATTGCTAAATGCTCCCAGAACCATCATCATAGATGCAGTACAGTAGTTTAATACAGCTTCATATTTTGGTAGACCATCTTTGTTAGCCAATATATAGTATGCTCCACTCTTTTATCTTTGTCCTATGTGGTTGTAGCCAGTATTCTGTGTTGCCTGCATTGTGCCCTTGGTGAATCAATACATACAGTACGTTACTGGTTGACTACTTGATGTAAACTTTGGAAGTACGGTAAAAAAGGGCTACCATAAAGCAAAGTATTGCTTAGTGTATGTTCAGTATCAGCATCAGAGGTACTGATGCCAAAAAAGTTTAAATTACAGTTAAACATATTGTAATGGGGGAGTTTATAATTTGGGTAATACATTTTGGAATGTTTTTCCGGCATATCCATAAATATGGATAGGTTTTTATGACAGACATCAATGAACTTTAGCTACTGATTCTATCTTGAAGTACAGCAGGACCTCCAAAATCATGGGACATAATACAGTGGACCCTCGACTAACAATATTAATTGGTACCCGAGACCGATTATCGTTAGTCGAGTTTTTTTAACGTTAGTCGAGGCACATGTTAGCGTTAGTCGAGGCACACGTTAGCGTTAACATGTATCGTTAGTCGAATTTAACGTTAGTCGATGCCATCATTGGTTGAGGGTCCACTGTACATGTATCTTAAAGATGTCCAGAAATCCAGAATCTGCAAATACCATAAAAGTCTCTCTGTATAATGCATTTTGTTGTAGATTTTGGCTCATTTTGAATTTCATAGGCAGTTGTTTTAGATATTACTGGAAATTTGTTCATATTGCTATTTGCAATTTAAAGGTTGTTCACCAAGCCAAATCAAAATGGTTACATCAAAAAATTAAGGCTATCTGCAGGAGACCCTTATGTAAAAACATTGCACTGAACTGAAGCACATAAATTTGGAAGGCAGTATTGTACTGTAGTGACACAAAACACTTGTGAAATTTAGTGGAGCAGATGTTGAGCATAAATATATGTATAGGGAATTGATGAAGAATAAAAAGGCACAATACCGTGACTGGAACAGTACACAAATAACCCACACATAGGAGAAAGAAACTTACAATGACATTTTGGTCTGACTTGGACCATTAACTAGTTAATGGTCCAAGTCAGACCAAATCATTGTTATAAGTTTCTTTTTCCTATGTCTGGGTTATTTGTGTAGAGAGAATTGATATTGATCAACATATTTGTGTTCATTTTAAAATTAAAGCTCACAACTAAACCATAAATTGGAAATAACCGAATGAGCCATTATCAATAAAATCTTAAAATATAGACATTGCATACAAAATATTTTCACACTGGCCACTTTTATGTATAAAATGAGCTGATTGGATGCGCCAAACTGTATGCAAGAACATGAAATATTGGCTACATAGAATTAGGCTAAATAAGAGAGCAGTGGATGCTAATAACCCTTAGCTTGTGAAAATGCCAGACTTTAAATTACCTTTAGATAGTTGTAATAAATATCTCAATAGCTTTAAAATATTTTTTTTACAGTTATATGATTCTTATTCTACCTAGGACTGGAGACTTGTAATAGAGTATAACAATTATATATTATTGCTAAAAAAAATGAGCTTAAATTTATCAAACTTTAACAGGATAAAGGGTCCAAAGGAAGCTTTGTTAACAGGAATCCCTTATATTAGCAGCCATAGATCAACCTGGGCCCTAAGACAATGTGTGTGCTTTCAGATGAAGAAAGAAAAATATTTACATAGGCCTTGCTATAAGTCGAGAGGGGAGGGTATGCTCTCAGACCTCAAAGATAAGAGTTAATCTGCTTTTTTTTTTTTTTCATCAAGTGTTAACACTCATTGTTTTCATATCCTTTGCTTCCCTTTGCATCATCCAGGCTACAGTGTGAGGAAACTGGTGATATATAAATTATTTCTTATCCTGTGAGTTGTAAGTACTGAGTATGTTTAGCACATGCAGTGAATGGCAGAATCATATTGCAAAACTTAACTTCCTATTGTACATTATAAGTGCAACACTAATAATGTATGTGTAGGCTGCAGCAGCTTTCTCACATTTGAGTTGTCTGTACTGAAGCACTTTAGTTTTGCAAGTGCACAGGTGATACTAGATCAGTTTCCTTCTTCATCGTTTGAATGTGAGGAAAAACTGATACAGGCAATGTTTTCATAGTCTCTTCATCTTCCCTTATGTATCATCCAAGTTAAAAAATGTTAAGGGGAAAACTATATAATACTACAGTACTGTATTGCATTATTTCATTTTTTTATTAAAATTAACAAAGTATCATTCTAAGTCTGAACAAGCCAACAGACATTACCAATGTTGAAGTGATACTGTATATACAGTACATATATTTATGGTATAATAGATGTATAATGGCATTTCGTTATGCAAATTTTTTTGCATAAATACTGTACAAAAAGGTTTATTAATAATTTTTCGCTGTACAATAAAGTGCATATTATGTAATTGGATGGCATTATCGTGTACTTAACTTGTTCTTTTAAGCATTTTACATGCACAACAATCATCAGTAAAAAGGGAAATTTTTTCATGAATTTAATAATGGTCAGATATTGGTAGAGTATAGTATCATACATAACTGGCCTTTGTATTGCTCATTTTTTATTTAAATATTTAACATACTGTAAATGAATAGACTGCAGTACATTACAAAACTTGCAGTTAATTTCATGGCAGTTAATAGTGTAAACCAGGTGGTTTAGTAGGCAACATTCTTGTCTTGCACATTGAACATCCATGGTTCAATCTCCAGCACTGGTGGAAATGTTGGGCATGTTTCCTTACACCTGTTGCCCTTGTTAACCTAGCACTAAGGAGGTACCTGGGTGTTAGTAGACTAGTGTGGGTCACATCCTGGGAGACAAGGTTGAAGGACCCCAGTGGCAATAAGACAGACAGTCCTCAGTGACACACTTGACTTTCTTTGGTTAATCCGAACAGATCTTATGTTGACTCTAGGCTCAATACATCCTGATGATATCTGGGGAGGGTTTCGGGGATCAACACCCCCGCTGCCTGGTCTGTGACCAGGCCTCGCAATGGATCAAGACCTGTGTTGATTGCAACACAAAAGGCCTAGAGCTATTACTCAACTCTCCCTGTGGTTGTTTTGCATCTTGTATCGCTTGTTCGCAATTCTTGCATACAACTATGTATTTATACTTGGTTCAAGCTGTTGCAACTCCCAACCAACCAACCAACCAAAGTAATCCCAAACCTTCAACCTAATAATAACAGCACCATTCATTGGTGATATTCTGAATGCTGTTTTTAGTATGTGGTTTGTTAATTTAAAAAAAAAAAAGGTACGTACTCATAAGACATTGGCCATATTTATTTTGAAAAAAAATGGTTGACTTATGGCTGGTAATATATGGTACTTAGTGAGAAATTCATATTCTGTAATCAGAGTAGGAAAGAATGTTAATATTTATAAAAATTCTGCTGTATATTCAAAGCACTGCATTTAACAATTGAATAGAATAAACTTAGTAAAGCTAAATAGCATTTAGATTCCTAGTGCATTATTAAATATATAATGTACCATCAAACCAACACAGGTGGTATTGTCAGCCTCATTGCTAAAGCTAATTTTGAAAATTAGTTTAAATAGCATTGTAACAAAAATAAATTTTGTCAATTTACTAATTAATAACTGGAATGTTTTTCAAATCTAACATTCAACATCCTTCAGATTATTTTTGTATGAGGAGCAACATTTGTTTTCAGATCTTTACTGGTGCTATTTAATTGTACTGTACAATAAAATAATCATTTAATCTTTTAAGAGTATGTTACTATACTGTACACTATTTGGAACTTGGTACTCTACTGTACTCTGTGGTAAATCATATCATCACTATAATATTTGACAGTACAAGTTACAGATGAGTGGCATTCTTTCAGTCCCGTGCTGCTTTGTCCCTCCTGGCATACTGCTACTTTTACATGCAAGACTTTGTAAATGCAGCCAACTGCTATGAACACCTCACCATCATTTTCCCTGAGATTGAGGACTACCGCCTCTACTATGCACAGGCATTGTACCAGGTTAGTGTTCCTAATGTTTATTGAATACATACATAATTTTGTACATTAAGTCTTTAGAATATTCATTTAAAGTATTGAACAAATTACAGTTCTTCTTTCTTTCAACAAAGGGGCCGTATCCCACCAAGGCAGGGTGGCCCAAAAAGAAAAACAAAAGTTTCTCTTTTTAAATTTAGTAATTTATACAGAAGGGGTTACTAGCCCCTTGCTCCCAGTATTTTAGTTGCCTCTTACGACACGCATGGCTTACAGAGGTAGAATTCTGTTTCACTTCCCATGGAGATAAGAGGAAATAAACAACAAGAACTAGTAAGAAAATAGAAGAAAACCCAGAGGGATGTGTATATATATGCTTGTACATGTATGTGTAGTGTGACCTAAGTGTAAGTAGAAGTAGCAAGACATACCTGAAATCTTGCATGTTTATGAGACAGAGAAAAGACACCAGCAATCCTACCATCATATAAAACAAGTACAGGCTTTTGTTTTACACTCACTTGGCAGGACAGTAGTACCTCCCTGGCCAGTTGCTGTCTACCAACCTACTACAGTTGTAATCAAGAAATATTATATCACATTCAAAGATATTTTGATTAACAAAGGGAGCACCCATCCAATACTATTTTAACCCTTTCAGGGTCCGTCCCGTAGATCTACGGCTTTACGTTCAGGGTCCAAACCATAGATCTACACCATGAGCTCAGCTCACTCTGATAAGCTGCGAGTGGTAAATTTGGGCCTAGATATGAGAGAATACATCTATGTGGTAAGTGTGCACCACATAAAACAAATCCTGCAGCACACAGTGTATAATGAGAGAAAAAAAAACTGAGACCGTGATTTTCGATTAAAACAGCGACTTTGCAGTGTTTTTTCGTATGTTTTTTATAGTTGTACGTATTTGAAATTTCTTGGTCTCATTTGATAGAATGGAAGATATATTACAGAAGTAGAGATGATTTTGATTGGTTTTAGTACTGGAAATGGCTTGAAACTGAGCTCAAAGTAGCGGAAATGTTAAATTTTTGTCGATGTTCAAGAGTAAACAAACGACCTCACACGTCTAATACATACCAGCTGGTGGGTCTAATATACATTCACAAATGTGATGATGATATTTATACAATTATTACAATATTGCATAACAGTAAATCTTCTATTTTTTTATTTGAATAAAAATTCATTATGTGAATAAAAAATCAAAATGGAATTCATTTGTAAAGCCTGAAAACATAACTAATGAGCAGAGGAAATGTTAGTTTAGTGCCAGGAATGCCTGCATTGTTTATTCTGGACCCTATTTTGAAATTGGAATATTTTGAACTTTGTGTTAAATTGGCCAAATTACCAATTTCCGATCACTTTATTTTGTAGTTGAAACAGTTGACTGGGCGATTTCTTGTGCTCAATCGATAAAATAGAAGTAATACTAGTGAAATAGTAAAGAATTTGGTCGACTGGAATAATGTAATTGGCCTAAAATCGGAGTCAAAGTCAGCAAAATCACCGATTCGTAAATATCGCTGATGCATCAAAATTCGCGCGAGCATAATTTTGTCAATTTTCCATAAAATTTCGTACTTTTTGTTTTATTACCTTCAGAAAAAGATTCTCTACCATTTCATAAGAAAAAATCACAATTTTTTTTTTTTAAATTCTTGGACACTGGTGCACCCTTCGAAATTTGGCCTCTGGACCCTGAAAGAGTTAAGAATCCATGGCCTTAGAGAAGAGAATGCTGTACAAAGACTTGGGGGAAAATCTTGGTTTCTACCTGAGGCTGTTTCAGTATAAAGTACAGTGGACCCCTGCATAACGATGGCATCACATAGCGATTAATCCGCATACCGCTTGCTTTAATCGCAAAAATTTTGCCTCACATACCGCTTAAAAACCCGCTCACCGATTTTCGTCCGAGACGCGTCCAATGTGCGGCCTGAGCCACGCTCACATGTTCCACCGGTGGCATTGTTTACCAGCCAGCCTCCGCGGTAACATCCAAGCATACAATCGGAATATTTCGTATTATTACAGTGTTTTCGGTGCTTTTTCTGGAAAATAAGTGACCATGGGCCCCAAGAAAGCTTCTAGTGCCAACCCTACAGCAATAAGGGTGAGAATTACAATAGAGATGAAGAAAAAGATCATTGATAAGTATGAAAGTGGAGTGCGTGTCTCCGAGCTGGCCAGGTTGTATAATAAACCCCAATCAACCATCGCTACTATTGGTGGTACAGCTGCTGCTGCTGCTGCACTGTCAGCTGCTGCTGCTGCTGTAGCATCGTCTGCTGCTGCTGCTGCTGTAGCATCGTCTGCTGCTGCTGTAACATCGTCTGTTGCTGCTGTACCACCGTCAGCTGCTGCTGTAGCATCGTCTGCTGCTGCTGTAGCATCGTCTGCTGCTGCTGTAGCATCGTCTGCTGCTGCTGTAGCATCGTCTGCTGCTGCTGCTGCTGTAGCATCGTCTGCTGCTGCTGCTGCTGTAGCATCGTCTGCTGCTGCTGTAGCATCGTCTGCTGCTGCTGTAGCATCGTCTGCTGCTGCTGCTGTAGCATCGTCTGCTGCTGCTGCTGCTGTAGCATCGTCTGCTGCTGCTGCTGCTGTAGCATCGTCTGCTGCTGCTGCTGCTGTAGCATCGTCTGCTGCTGCTGTAGCATCGTCTGCTGCTGTAGCATCGTCTGCTGCTGCTGCTGCTGTAGCATCGTCTGCTGCTGCTGTAGCATCGTCTGCTGCTGCTGCTGCTGTAGCATCGTCTGCTGCTGCTGTAGCATCGTCTGCTGCTGCTGTAGCATCGTCTGTTGCTGCTGTACCACCGTCAGCTGCTGCTGCTGCTGTAGCGTCGTCTGCTGCTGCTGTAGCATCGTCTGTTGCTGCTGTACCACCGTCAGCTGCTGCTGCTGCTGTAGCACCGTTGTTGGTGTGGCTTATTGAGAATACCAAGAAACAATTAACCCCAGAGGATTTGCCACCCAGGATAACCCAAAAAAGTCAAGTGTCATCGAAGACTGTCTAACTTATTTCCATTGGGGTCCTTAATCTTGTCTCCCAGGATGCAACCCACACAAGTCGACTAACACCCAGGTGAACAGGGAAAAATGCCTGGAACTAGTGCTCATATTGGTGAATTTAAAGCCAGCAAAGGTTGGTTTGAGAGATTTAAGAATCGTAGTGGCATACACAGTGTGATAAGGCATGTTCTGGAAGAAAATGCCAAACAGGACCTACAGTACTCAGGAGGAAAAGGCACTCCCAGGACACAGTGTCTCATCAGTCATTGCTGCATCTTCAATAAAGGTAAGTGTCATTTATTCTTCATTTAGTAGACTAGTACATGCACAATATATACTGTGCATGTACTACTCTACTATTGTGCATGTATCCTTCTCTTTGTGTGTAGGAAAATGTATATTTCATGTGGTAAAAATTTTTTTTTCATACTTTTGGGTGTCTTGCACGGATTAATTTTATTTCCACTATTTCTTATGGGGAAAATTCATTCACATACCGATTATTTCGCATAACAATTACCCCTCTTGCACGGATTAAAATCGTTATGCGGGGGTCCACTGTATATATTATTCAGTTTCTCAAACATATTAAATATTGTATTAGTCTTACTGGAAAAGCATACTAAACTATAATGTAGCTCTCATACACTTTAAGGCATGTCTGTATGAGGAGGCAATGAAAGTGACCCATCAGATAGAAGCACCAGAGTATGCTGGCCACATCACAAAGCTTCAAGCAGCCATCAAATATGGGGAAGAAGACCTTCCAGGGGCCAAAAGCCTGGTTGATCAGTGTCCCACAGATGACCCTGACACAGAAGTCAACCACGGATGTCTCCTGTATAAGGTGAGGTCAGGACAAATTGAGTCTACATCAGATACTGCATTTCACACTCATATCACCATTATAGAGTAAAATATATTCCATACATTGTCTCTTCATTCTGCTATTTAACTATAAAGCATTTAATTATAGTAGGAATAGAAAATGTATTACACAATTTCAGCACCCATCATTGTTGGCATAATCTAACCTTGCAAAAGCAGTTATCGGGCATCCATTTAAAAGCCTATTTGCTGTTGTATTCTGGTAGAACTTATCTAGCAAGCATTTCAAGACCCTCGCACTGAATAAGTGTTTCCCCTTCACATGAACTCTGAGCCATATAATAATTTTGTCAGTCACCATCTTCCCCACATACACATATACACAGAGTATATGCTTGTGTAAATATAAAACTGTAACTGTATAGCACTAGGACCCTGATAAAAATATTTTAAGCCATGTTTGACTTTATTGGCTTATCCTAAGTTAAATTCTGCATAATTTACTAGTATTTATGAAACAATGTAAAAGTTTAAACTTTATATGTGAAGCCTAAATACCAACTTACTAGACTTGTGACCATGTTACCAAGATATTTTAAATGCTTTAAGAGAACTTAAAACATTTCCTCATGAATTTTATGAATTGAATATATGATAATGTTTGCATGTTGCATGTAGGAAGGACGGTATGAAGAAGCCTGCCAAAAGTTTAGCAGTGCATTACAAGTGGCAGGATATCAGCCCCATTTGTCATACAACATTGCACTGTGCCACTATCGTCTCAAGCACTTTGCTCCTGCCCTGAAGCATATTGGTGAGTATGGATATATGAACAGGAGGGTTCTGCTTATACAGAAGGTTAGGTTCCGGGCTATTGCTGTGAAGCAAAAATCACTATAAAGTGAAACAACTTTTTTTTCACTTTCAGATGCATATAAAAGCCTGATAACATGTTTACACTATCATATATTAAGTGAACAATAGAGCTAGGCCTAAAAAATGCATATACAGTACACACATTACTTACCTTAAAATATTTTAATCCTTAGCTTATAGGGAGTGGTGACTATATTTATTGTAGGAAGTCTGAATAAATGAAGAATGAGTATAACTGAAAACCATGAAATGCCATAAAGCGAAGCACTGTAGAGCAGGGGCCTACCAGTATATTCATGCCCTAGTTTCGTGTGATTATTACTGCCAGAATCAGTACTGTAGTCCCCTTAAAGTAGGGCAGATTGAGCTGCATTGCACTGTACCACTATCTCCTCAAGTATTTTGCTCCTGCCCTGAAGAATATTGGTGAGTATGGATATTTTATGTATATACATGTCTTAGTTTCATGTGGTTATTACTGCCAGAATCAGTACTGTAGTGTCCTTAGAATAGGGCAAATTAAGCAACTGCCCTGGGCTTCTCATTGTCAAAGAGACCCTAAGAATTAAAAAAAAAAATTTTGTACAGCACACTTCTGTTACCAAGCATCAGGATTACATTGAGGCATCTGTGGAGACAAAGAACATTATCAGTGGAGGCAAAAAGGGGCATGTATCAGAGTATATTGCTACGAGTACTGTTATATGGGTGTGAAGATGAGTTTCAGACTTTGCAGTGAGCAATATCATAATCAGGATATTAAAGCACCTTATCATTTTATGTTTTTTAGTTGACATAATTGAGCGTGGTATTCGAGAGTATCCAGGGGTGAGTAAATAGCATAATCAAGATATTAAAGCACTTCATTATCTGATGTTTTTCTAGCTGACATAATTGAGCGTGGTATTCGAGAGCATCCGGAACTAAGTGTGGGCATGACTACTGAGGGTATCGAGGTGCGTAGTGTTGGTAACACACTTACACTACACGAAACTGCACTCATCGAAGCATTTAATCTTAAAGCTGCTATAGAGTACCAGCTAAAAAATTGTGAGTATTTGTTTCTTATTGTTATTAATTATACTGTTTGCCTTATAAATATTCAGTTGTGGTATTGTACAGTAATAGGAACAATCATGGACAAAAGTTCATCAAGGGTATATGTTCTTGTACCTGTCATTCACCTCTGTTTGCTTATAAGAGTTCTTTAATTTTTCCAGCTGTAAGATTAGAACCACTGAATCTATTACAAGTAAACTGAAATAACAACAGGGCAGGGCCAGAATTTCTATATTGGGATGGGGGGTCTTAAGAGTGGTTATTTGGTTGGAAGGAGAGGCTAGATTTGTTTTGAATCTCCATTTTCATTATCATTATTACCATTACTTGTGTTGTTGTTTTTTTTTTTTTCAACAAACTGACTGTATCCCATCAAGGCAGGATGGCCCAAAAAGAAAAATGAAAGTTTCTCTTTTTTAAATTTAGTAATTTATATAGAAGAAGGGGTTACTAGGCCCTTGCTCCCGGTATTTTAGTCGCCTCTTATAACACGCATGGCTTATGGAGGAAGAATTCTGTTCCACTTCCCCATGGAGATAAGAGGAAATAAACAAGAACAAGAACTAGAAAGAAAATAGAAGAAAACCCAGAGGGGTGTGTTTATATATGCTTGTACATGTATGTGTAGTGTGACCTAAGTGTAAGCAGAAGTAGCAAGATGTACCTGAAATCTTGCATGTTTAAGGGACAGAAAAAAGACACCAGCAATCTTACCATCATGTAAAACAATTACAGGATTCCGTTTTACACTCACTTGGCAGGACAGTAGTACCTCCCTGGGCAGTTGCTGTCTACCAACCTACTACCTACATTGTATTATTATTATTATTATTATTATTATTATTATTATTATTATTATTAATTATTTTATTTGGGAGATCATTGAGGGCCTGAGCAAATTTTTTAGGGGGGACCCCATGTATTTCCCTTGGTACTGCCCCTGAATAGTAACCAAGATATTTGTAAACTTTTGTTTCTCTCCATATCTAAAGTTTATAAGATTTGCTTATTAATGCTAATTTTTCCATAAGCATTGAGCTGTTATGTTTAGTCATAGATTTCAAAGATGATTTTACATATGCAGTGCATTCCATCCAAGTGATAGTTGTAGAGGAAAAATTTATTGATACATTGGCTGTTTTCCACCAAAGCACATGTTTGTTATTTGCTCCCTGGCAGTCACAATGTCTGGAAAAAGTTAAGCATTTGGCCATACTGAATGGTAAATCAGTATAAGTGTACTACTAATAGTTGTAGTAGTTATAGTTGTTGTAGTAGTAGTATTTGTTGTAGTGGTAGTTGTTGTAATAGTATTAGTAGTTGTTGTAGTAGTAGTAGTTGTAGTAGTAGTAGTTATTGTAGTAGTAGTAGTTGTTGTACTAGTAGTAGTTGTTGTACTAGTAGTAGTTGTACTAGTAGTAGTTGTTGTTGTAGTAGTAATTGTTGTAGTAGTAGTTGTTGTAGTAGTTGTTGTAGTAGTTGTTGTAGTAGTAGTTGTTGTTGTAGTAGTTGTTGTTGTAGTAGTAGAAGTAGTAGAATGAAGGATAGTGAATGTGTGTCCTCTTTTTTGGGTCACCCTACCTTGGTGGTAAATGGCTAGTAAGGTAAGTAAAATGTCAATAATACTGCTACTACTAATAACAATAACCAGGGGCTCACCTAAAACACATCATGCTTCATTCACAGCTAAACTTGCTTCAGGTCCCAGCAGTACATTGTGTATCTTATACTCACTAAGGTTGTTTACTAGTTATGATTGATGTCAGCTTGGAGTCTAGCAGGGTGCTGCACTCCAGTCATCATTCGATCTAACTTGGATATGCATCCAATGACCAGTGTTAATTTCACTCCATGGACCTCTTGGCCAACCACTCCCACTCCCTGATGCTAGCTTCACTAAGTATAGAGATGCTATTATTGGGTATCAAGATTGGAACATTTGGCTGAACTGTAATCTGCACAACCTGCTCCTGGAGTTCCACCAGCATTCAATGGTTGCTTCCTCCATTCTCGGGTACTGTTTGTATATTGTTTGATTGATTATTTCCTGTTGTCTTTCAGCAGAAAATTACATTTTGATGAAAGATGCATTTCTCTGCTGGGGCCCCTGGAGATTCCATGGATTCCTCTGCTTCCCCAGATATGTTCTGAATGCTAACTTGGGTGCTGTGCTGTGACAGGCTCCCAGCTGGTGTTGGTTATAACCAGTAAATATCTCAAGTGAGCATTAGTAAAGAGTGGCCCCCACTGAGCATGAGGCACAAAATGGACCCAGCTGAGGTTATCGAGGTGAATTTTAGCATGAGTGAGGCTCCCCGGAACCCCAGTTATAGGATCTATTGTGATACACTTACAAGCAGAAACTTAAGATAAAGGTTGGGTTAAAAGTGTATGTGAATAAGGGCGATTAATAAGGAAGTAGATACAGGATGCTAAGAAGAGGTTTGGCATATACAGTACCTGTACTGCATTCTGAATACTTCAAGTAATTCCCTCCAGTTTTTGTGTCAAGTAAAATTAAATAGAATTTTGTAATGAGAATGGTAATATTCTCTAAACATTTCAAAATACGTATTTTACCATGTTTGGATTCTCTCCAACGTAGACGAGGCTGCTCGTGAAGCACTGACTGACATGCCTCCACGCTCAGAAGAAGAACTTGATGCCGTTACACTCCATAATCAGGTATAATTCAGAATACACATTACATACAATACATAAATGGTTCTGAATCACATCTGCAAGTGTTTCATAAAGCAAGGGACACCTGCATTCTTTAGCCATAAAATCTTTATAAACTCTAACACAGTCTCAGTTTATATATACACTTGAAATGAAGGTTTAAAAATGATATGCCTACTCAGAGATGAGAAGTTAGAAGTATCAAAATATTACTGTTATTTATAATGTTTACCAACACACGGTTAACAAGAGCATCACATGGAGCATCTTTCCCAAACATGTGTTATTGCTTATCATTAGACTAAGCTGTTGACTGATAAACAGTGATATACCTTTACTAAATACCTGCTGTGTTGACTTAGCAGTCAGTATTGAAAGAAATTGTGAATGGAAGGCATGAAATTCATTTGAATAAGTGTGCAGAGAAGAGTAATAAACAATAGACTTGATGAAAATAAATGGTATAAAATACCAACAATATGGAAACATAAACACATATGCAGTTTAATGTGATCCTTTATTGTGATCCTATAATGTGATCCTTTATTCCCCACCAACTCCATTGCCAAACATGTTTCCAACATCTTTTCCAATACATCATTCCAAGTATCTACCTCCACAACCACGACCATCAAGGACATCACCAGTAGTAGACAGGACAAGCTTCCATCCTCTGCAGGGGTATACATAATCCCTTGTAATGACTGCAACAAATTATACGTGGGCGAAACATCAAGAGACCTCCAAACACGTATTTCAGAACACCAATACGCAAGCAGGACTGACGATACAAGGAATGCCTGTGTACAACATCGCAATTCACACAACCATTTAATTAACTACAGAAACTCAAGACTTATCGCCACAGAAGACAACACTCAATACCGAAGAATCCTGGAATCATCGCTTATCTCTATAACCAACAATTTCAACCAGAACAATGGCTTCTATAACATAGCTGAACCACTTGCCAAGAAACTTCTTCATCGCTATCCCATATAAGAACATAGAACACTGCAGAAGGTCTACTCACAACTTGTCCAATACCCCTGTCAAGCTACCCAAGACTCTATAACCCAAACCAGTGGATCATCAGATGCAGCATTCTCCACCTGACCTCAACATTCTGAACCTGACTATAAATGCTCCCGTACCTTCCACCCCAGGTAGATCTGTTTGTGACTTGAAAAAGCCCACTGTGTGGGTGAAACATTGTCAATAAAGGATCACATTAAACTGCATATGTGTTTATGTTTCCAAACAATAGACTTGTTGAACAATTTTGAGATGGCTTCACAAGCATAAGTTATTAGATATTGCTTAGATATTTATTTTGTAAAAAATAATCAGATATATCCATTCAAGCCAAATATAATCTTTTTTTTTTCTCCCAGGCTTTGATGAACATGGAAATGAAACCAACTGAAGGATTTGAGAAATTGCAATTTCTTTTGGGCCAAAATCCATTTCCTCCAGAAACTTTTGGAAACCTCCTCCTTCTCTACTGCAAGTATGAGTATTACCACTTGGCAGCTGATGTTCTTGCAGAAAATGCTCATCTCACTTATAAATACCTAACACCGGTAATTTATTAATTTCATTCATATTCTATTTTCTTTTATCACTAGGCTCTGATAATTTCATTTATGATTGTCATTGACTCCATAATCTAGTTGTGTTGTCTTACAAAGATGTAAAAAGGCTTCAGTATCTAGTTAAGTAGTTCGTCTTTCACAAAGGACTTTGTTGAGTGCAGTAATTTAACCTTTCCTTTTGCATAATTAGTACTTCGGTTAAGATGCTTATGAATTAGCTGAAAGGAAAAGAAAAAACTATATAATATTAGAATTGCTGTCATATAATATCTTATTAGCAGCCCATCTTCCCAAACAACCATATGTTTTTTTAATTATGACTTGAGGCTATGAAAAGGCAGTGCAACATTAAATTGTGAACATTGATTTGGTGCTGTCTTCACTTCCTGTCAGTTTTGCTGGTTCCTCATGTCTGATCCAGAAATTGGAAATGTGACTAGCCTTACATTATAGATCTACCAGTCTGAAATATGAAAGGCATTACCATTCCACCTAAAGATGTGTACAGTATATGCTTTTGTATTTAAACATTAGAATTAATCTGCCTGAAATGCACCTCATGCTAGCGGCTTTCTTTTGTACCTAACAATATTTTATTACATATAAACTACACTACTTAATACTGCAGAAAAGAAATAAATTGTTTGTATGTATTTGTATTTGTTTAGGATCACAGGGTCAGAAGCCAAGGTCACAAATTGAGTTACATGATTATTCATAATTTTTTCATATATGTAAAGAATGTTATTTAAATTGTACAGTACTACATTATGAAAGACATCAACTCAGTACAGTAGGGCCCTGCTTTACAGCATTTTGCCTAACAGTGTTCCACTAATATGGTGATTTCAAATTATGACCAAAACTTGCTATACAGCTCCGTCTGTCTTTCTAATACGGCGCACCCCACCCAGTTTGTTTACATTCTCTGTGAGCTCCGCATCTGTCCATTATGTGTGGAAACTTCACAAAATTTCAAGTGTTTTAAAGTTATTTCATATTTTATATATACTCTGATAATTATACTTATGTGTACCTGTACCTAAGTAAACTTACACACTGTGCTGGCATGCAGGTACACTAAGAGTGTCTTATGTCTCGAGGATGCCATATTAATAATGATAATACTCAATAATAATCACTCTGAGGCACATTAAATGTTGTATATTATGTTAATATAGTCATTTTCATTAATCCTTTTATGATATTTTTTTCAGAATTATATAATAAACATGCTACATAACATATAAACATGATAAATACACCCAACAGTAGAATAAATTAACATAAATATGAGATGTTTTTGCAGTTTTGTCGGTGTTGGAAAGAATAACGTTTTCTGTAGTTCAACACCAGAGAAAATGTACACAATAATATTACTGGGGATAACTGTAGAAAATTATTCCTTTCATATGCCTTCACTCAGAGCATCATTTCTTCTAAAAATGGTGTTACATGAGAATGGGAGTGTTGCTCTTTATTTATTCTACTTTACCAACGTGGAGACAAGCTTGTACACATTGTAAGGTGTTTGTATTATGGTATAAGATTTACAGACATAGGAACGAACGTGTATCAACCAAAACCAGACCAGCTCCCACCCCACCCCACCCCACCTCCACCTCTGGTGGGTTTGGAGGGGCGTGGGTGGCCTGGCTGGTGACCATACCTACCACACCTGATATCTTACAATAAATACAGGTCTCCCTCAACATTCACGTTTTCAACTTTCGCGGGCTTCACACATTCGTGAATTACCAACCGCCAAATTCCCAGCCGCCAAATCATATTTAAGTTTCCCACCACCTGCAGGTCCCTACTACCCTCCCTCTGACCCCTCCCAACTGGCAGCCAGCCCTCCCACCAGTGTGGTGAGTGTTTTGTTTGTTCATTATTTGCTATTAAACTACAGTATAAATAATGTAAACCCATTCATGATTGCATATTGGAATGACTATTCAGACAAGTATTGGACGGTGACATCATGTGTTGACTCTTGAACACAGCAAAGAATCAAACATTTCTGCTACTGCTAATAATAACAATAGTAGTAGTAATAATAATAATAATTATAATAAATACGATAGAATTGAAGAAAAAAATTGTACAAAAATACGAAGGAGTGGTTGACACATCGTCAGTGTGGCTTTGTTTATGCTGGAGTGAGCATTAATCTCCGTGCTCTTCCAAACATTTCACAATAATTCATTGTGTTTGGTGCTTGTAGATTGAGTGCGACTGGAGTGGTAGAGGCAGTGGTTGGAGAAGCGGTTGAGGCATTGGGTGAGGCAGCAGTTGAGGCAGTGGGTGAGGCAGTGGGTGAGGCAGTGGTCGAGGCAGCGGTTGAGGCAGTGGGTGAGGCAGTGGTCAAGGCAGTGGTATTTAATAACATACATGTTATTAATAATAATAATAATAATAATACATTATTAGTAATATGTATTATTATTTATAACATGTTATTAAATACCACTGCCTCAACTGCTGCCTCTACCATTGCCTCAACCGCTGCCTCTACAGTGCCTCAACCGCTGCTCACCACTACCTCAACCACTGCCTCACCCACTGCCTCGACCACTGCCTCAACCACTGCCTCAACCATTGTTTCACCCACTGCCTCACCCACTGCCTCACACACTGCCTCTACCATTGCCTCAACCACTGCCTCACCCACTGCCTCACCCACTGCCTCAACCACTGCCTCAACCACTGCCTCTACCATTGCCTCAACTGCTGACTCAACCACGGGCCTACCCCTGCCTCACGCATTGCCTCACGCACTGCCTCACGCACTGCCTCACGCACTGCCTCACGCACTGCCTCACACACTGCCTCTACCATTGCCTCAACCACTGCCTCACCCACTGCCTCAACCGCTGCCTCACCCAATGCCTAAACCCGGGTTTCCCCCAACCACTGCCTTTTACCACTCAGTCGCACTCAATCTACAAGCACCAAACACAATGAATTATTGTGAAATGTTTAGAAGAGCACGGAGACTAATGCTCACTCCAGCATAAACAAAGCCACACTGACGATGTGCCAACCACTACTTCGTATTTTTGTACAATTTCCTTCTTCAATTCTATCGTATTTATTATTATTATAATTATTATTAGTAGTAGTAGTAGTATTATTACTACTACTACTATTGTTATTATTAGCAGTAGCAGAAATGTTTGATCCTTTGCTGTGTTCAAGAGTCAACACATGATGTCACCGTCCAATACCTGTCCGAATAGTCATTCCAATATGCAGTCATGAATGGGTTTACATTATTTATACTGTAGTTTAATAGTAAATAATGAACAAACAAAACACTCATCACACTGGTAGGAGGGCTGGCTGCCAGTTGGGGGGGTCGGAGGGAGGGTAGTAGGGACCCGCAGTGGTCGAGGAAGTGGAGGCAGTGGTATTTAATAACATACCTGTTATTAAACCATAACATGTATGTATTTAGTACAATTTATGACGTTTTCATGTATTTTATGATTGTTCATGGTTCAACAAGTTAAGGAAGAAGTATTGTATTATATTTCAATACAATATATTGGGGCACCAAACATTTGCGATTTTTCAACATTCGCAAGGCTCTTGATCCCCTAACCCTCACAAATGTTGAGGGAGACCTGTACTACTCATCTCACCCTACATTAAGACTACAAATATTTTAAGGTAAGTAATAAGTATATTATATGTGTATTTTATCTCCATGGGGAAGTGGAACAGAATTCTTCCTCCGTAAGCCATGCGTGTTGTAAGAGGTGACTAAAATGCCGAGAGCAAGGGGCTAGTAACCCCTTCTCCTGTATAAATTACTAAATTTAAAAAGAGAAACTTTTGTTTTTCTTTTTGGGCCACCCTGCCTTGGTGGGATACGGCCGGTTTGTTGAAAAAAAAAATGTGTATTTTACTTTTTTATTGTTTTTAATGCTAAGTTCTATTGCTAACTTAATATATGTTAGTGTAAACTTGTTATCTGGCATTTATAAGTGGGAAAAAAAGAGCATTCCACTTTACAGCAATTTCCACTTTACGGTGGTAGCCTGGACCTTAACCTGCTGTATAAGTGGGGCCCTACTGTATAAAAATCCAAGTTTAGACTAGGTTTGTAATTTATCATATGGAACATTGGCTAAATATATGTCTTATTTCAGCACCTGTTTGACTTTCTGGATGCCCTGATTACCCAACAAACTGCTCCCTCAGAAGCATATCGCAAATTTGATGAATTAGGATCACGTCACATTGAATTACTGCGGAAGCTCACGAAGGTGGTTCAAGAGGCACGACAGAATCATGATGATGATCAAGTTAAGACTGCTGTCAATGAATATGAAGAAGTTTTAGAAAGGTATTCTTGAATAACAATCTCATTCTCTTTTTATCTTCCATCACTTCCACCACCATTCATTCATTGTTCTTCCTCTGTTTCCTCTTTCTCTTCCTCCTGTATCTTATTTATGACTTATAAGTGTTCACTATTCAAAGGGAATATAATAATAATAATAATGTTACATGGCATTTATCCACATTAAATTCCATCATCCATGTGTTACTCAGCTTCCTCAATATATATCCATGTTTTCTTGTAAGGTTACTGTTATTTTTATTGCTTATTTTGCATAGGATTTTTGTATCACACATGCACACATTCACACACAAAAAAAAACACCCACCTGCTCGCAAACATAGTACAGGCTCAGGAGTCAAAATCTGCAAACCTCACTCGAGAAGGACCTTGGGGTGAGTATCATACCAAGCACATTCCTTAGGTGCACATCAACCAAATAACTGCTGCAGCAAATGTGTGTTTGGCAAATGTAAGAATAGCTTTTCAACATCTAAGTAAGGAGTCATTCACAACACTGTACACCATGTATGTCAGGCCTGTATTGGAGTATGCAACACCAGTATGGAACCCACACCTGATTAAGCATATTAAGAAATTGCAGAAAGTGCAGAAATTTTCTACAGAACTACACCAGAGCTAAGGGGTATGTCCTATGCGGAGAGATTAAGAGAACTCAAACTAATGACACTGGAGGACTAGAGGACTAGGGAAATATGATAATGATATACAAAATATTGAGAGGCACTGATGGGGTGAACAGGAACAGAATGTTTCAGAGATGGAAAATAGGAACAGCTGGACTGGAACTATTTGGAGAGTGAAGTGTTACAGATGCGATCCATATATAGTTTTAAGAAGAGATACAATAAGGCTCTTGAAGCTGGGAGAGAGTGGACCTAGTAGCGACCAGTGAAGAAGCAAGTCCAGGAGTTGTGCCTCAACTGATGCAACTACATATAAGTAAGTATACACACACACACACACACACACACACACACACAAGGTGGACAAAGACAGGATGTTCCAGAGATGGGACACAGAAACAAGGGGTCACAATTGGAAGTTGAAGACTCCTATGAGTCAAAGGGATGTTAGGAAGTATTTCCTCAGTCATAGAGTTTTCAGGAAGTGAAATAGCCTAGAAAGTGATGTAGTGGAGACAGGAACCATACATAGTTTTAAGATGAGGTTTGATAAAGATCATGGAGTAGAGAGAGAGGACCTAGTAGTAATCATTGAAGAGGTGGGGCCAGGAGATATGACTCAACCCCTGCAACCACAAATAGGTGAGCACACACAAACAAGGAATATTGGGTAGTAGAGCTCATGAAAAGGGAACATGAGTGGGGAAGGAAGCCAGAAGAGCTTAGCATGAAAATGGAGGAAAGGATAGCTGCTGAGAGCAGGAAGTGGGAGATGCAAGTCACAGCAGCAGAGGCTAAGATTCAGAGATTAGAAGAGGAATTGAAAAATCTGAAACAGCTTAAAGAACTAAAGAGCAATGTGGGCATGACATCAGAAACTGCTACTTCAGTCACAAACAAGGGGACTGTAGGGAACGAAGGAGCGAACTGTATGCAGAGGCCCTATCAAACTCGTGGAGCCTGAAAAAAAAAAAGAGGATCACATCAGGAACGATCGAGGGGACTGTAGAAAATGAAAGAGCTAAGCGATATGTAGAGGCCCTAACAGACCACAGCAGTGCCCAGGGAAAGCTGAGAAGAAAAAATGACAGACCACTGGGACCAGGGACAACAGATAGTGAAGAGATTGAAGAAAGGAAAGCTGCAATGGAGGCAACTAAATCGAATCAAGTGATACATAGGGATATACAGTGGGAGAATGAAAAGGAGTGACAGAACACTAGAAGAAAGGCAGAAATTGAAAGAGTTGTCAGGAAGTGGAACAATTTGGAGGGTGAAATAGTGAAGACAGGATCTATACATAGCTTTAAGAAGTGATATAATAAGGCTCTTGGAGCGGGGAGAGAGTGGCTTCCCAGCGACTAGTGAAGAGGCAGGGCCAGGAGCTGTGACATGACCCTTACAACCTCATATAGGTGAGTACATGTACATGCACACACACACACCCTACCAGCCAACTAACCTACTCTACATACTCGCCTACCTATGCATGCATACATGCATTCATTCTGTACAACCTCTCCTCACTTAATGACAGAGTTCTGTTCCTAAGACCACATTGGTAAACAAATTCATCACTAATCAAGGAGCATACTATAATGGTAATGGGTTTGTGTCAGCTATCTTTGATATTGTTTTATTGTCACCTTTGCACCATTTATAACATTTCTGGTATATTTTTAAATGTTTATACAGTAGTGTACTGTATATTGTAATAAACAGCTTAGAGGAAACAAGCTCTAATATAAGTTATTTAGGTATGCATACTGGTCAGAGAGCCTTTCATAAGTCCGAGTCGTCGGTAAACGAGTACGTCACTAAGTGAGGAGAAGCTGTATATAAATTTATGAAATTTGTTTGAACATTTGCTTGAAATGTTAAAAATATGTGTATTCAACCCTCTCTTCCTCCCTCCTTCCCTCCCCTATTATTTTTTATGAAATTTGGAAATATTTAGCTCATTTTGATAGTGGTTTCATATTTTTTAATATTTTCAGGTACATCCCAGTGTTGATGGCTCAAGCAAGAATATATTGGGATCTAGAGAACTATTCTCAAGTTGAGAAGATTTTTCGCAAGTCAGTAGAGTTTTGCAATGAATCTGATGTTTGGAAATTGAATGTAGCCCATGTTCTTTTCATGCAAGAAAATAAATTTAAGGAAGCTACTGGGTTTTATGAACCCATTGTGAAGAAAAATTACGATAATGTAAGGATATATTAAATACACTATACATGTATAGTACTTAGATAAAATGTATATATAGAATTAGCATTCTCAGTGCAGGTCACCCTCACATTATGATAGATTATCATACAAAAACACATGATACATTAGACTTGCACCAGACTAGCTGAATCTCGTGAGCTCTCAGGATGAACAAATGATAAGGTGGCCAGGCTAGCATTCTGGGAAGATGTGAATGTTGGGTTAGGTTCATTATGTACTAGTCTGGATTGTGTAAAATGAGACTGCATGGTGTATTCTTCATACCTTGTTTTAGCATGATAATTACATCTAATCAAACCGAAGTAAGGTTCAGACAGAATATCAAGTGATAAGGATTATAGATTACAATTGTGACCTTTTGCTCTTCCTATTGATGGGGATAAAATGTTCATTTATGTAAACCATGGTATAGGTGGGGTTAGAACTCATGGCAAGTGAGTCATAAAACTCCAGGCCACTGCATAAGCCACTGGGCCAGCTGGCTACAATAAGATTCATCCAACTAGGTATATTTATACACCCTAGGGAGGTTAGCTGTGACCACAAATGCAAGTTTTTACAGAGGAATCTCTCACCAGCATAGCCTTGACAAACTCTAGCTCAAGTGCCCTCAAAATTGCTATCATACCTGGTTACCTGGAGGTTATTCCAGGGATCAACGCCCCCGCGGCCCGGTCCATGACCAGGCCTCCCGATGGATCAGGGCCTGATCAACTAGGCTGTTACTGCTGGCCGCACGCAGTCCAACGTACGAGCCACAGCCCGGCTGATCCAGCACTGACTTTAGGTATCTGTCCAGCTCTCTCTTGAAGGCAGCCAGGGGCTTATTGGCAATTCCCCTAATGCTTGATTGGAGGCTGTTGAACAGTTTTGGGCCCTGGACACTTATGGTGTTTTCCCTTAGTGTACCAATGGCGCCCCTACTTTTTATTGGGGGCATTTTGCATCGCCTGCCCAGTTTTTTACTTTCGTAGGGAGTGATTTCTGTGTGCAGATTTGGGACCATTCCTTCCAAGATTTTCCAAGTGTAGATTATGATATATCTCTCCCTCCTGCATTCCAACGAGTACAAGTCAAGTGCTTCCAAGCGTTCCCAGTAGTTAAGGTGCTTGACAGAACTTATACGTGCAGTAAAGGATCTCTGTACACTCTCTAGATCTGCGATTTCACCTGCTTTGAATGGAGATGTTAATGTACAGCAGTATTCCAGCCTAGAGAGAACAAGTGATTTGAAAAGGATCATCATTGGCTTGGCAACTCTCGTTTTGAAAGTTCTCATTATCCATCCTATCATTTTCTATGCACGTGCGATCGTGGCACTGTTGTGATCCTTGAAAGTGAGATCCTCAGACATTACTACTCCCAGGTCCCTTACATTATTTTTCCACTATTGTATGGCCGGAGTCAGTAGTATACTCTGTTCTAGTTATTATCTCCTCCAGTTTTCCATAACGGAGTAGTTGGAATTTGTCCTCATTGAACATTACATTGTTTACCGTTGCCCACTGGAAAACTTTGTTTATATCTTCTTGGAGGTTAATCGAGTCCTCAGCAGATGACAGCCTCATGCAGATCCTAGTATCATCCACAAAGGATGATACGGTGCTGTGGTGTATATCTCTGTCTATGTCTGATATGAGGATAAGGAATAAGATGGGGACGAGTACTGTGCCTTGTGGAACAGAGCTCTTCACTATGGCAGCCTCCGATTTAACTCTGTTGACCACTACTCTTTGTGTTCGATTTGTTAGGAAGTTGAAGATCCATCTCCCCACTTTCCCAGTTATTCCTTTAGCACGTATTTTATGGGCTATTATGCCATGATTGCATTTGTCAAATGCTTTTGCAAAGTCTGTGTATATTACATCTGCATTCTGATTTTCTTCCAGTGCATCCAAGGCCATGTCATAGTGATCCAGTAGTTGTGAGAGGCAGGAGCGACCTGCCCTGAACCCATGTTGCCCTGGATTGTGCAAATTTTGGGAATCCAGGTGATTTGCAGTCCTGCTTCTTAGCACTCTTTCAAAGATTTTTATGATGTGGGACGTCAGAGCTATTGGTCTATAGTTCTTAGCTAATGCTTTGCTGCCACCTTTATGGACTCACAAAATTGTAATAACACAATTGCAAACAAACCATGGTACAGGTGGGGTTAGAATTCATGGCCAGTGCCTTATGCACTGGCCTGGAGTTTTGCAACTCACTTGCAAACTCACCCATACTGTGGTTTGTTTGTAATCATGTTATTACGATTTTGTGAGTCGTGATGACTGTTCATTTATATAAATTTTTGCATATTTTATGATTTTATCTGTGGTTATCTTGCCTCCAATGGTTCCATTAGCCCACCTGGGCAGTGTCAGCATTTTTAGTCTTTATTTGTAACTCATGTTTATCAACTCTGACTCTTAAACTTCAGACTCCTCATCCAAGAAACATAATGAACAATGGCTCAGTTTGAAGCCAGCAAAAATGTGGAGCACCAAAAAGGTGCTATATATGCTGGGCCCTCCTGTAATCAGTCAGATTTACTCACCAAAAAATTTTTTACTCTGCTTTCTTCACAGATCCTGAATGTTAGTGCCATTGTTCTGGCCAACTTGTGTGTGTCTTACATTATGACCAGTCAGAATGAGGAAGCTGAGGAACTCATGAGGAAGATTGAGAAAGAGGAGGAGCAACTAGCCTATGAAGATCCAGACAAGAAGATATATCACTTGTGTATTGTCAATCTTGTTATAGGGTAAGCATTTTTTTTTTTTACACAGGCTATCTTCCACCAAGGAAAGATGATCCATAAAAAAAGAGAAAACACATTCAAGATCACTCATTTAATATGGTTTATTTAATGATAAAATAGTCTTTATTTTGTTCACGTTTCTCCCTTAAGCAATCATCCATCCTACAAAGTGCAGTCTCTACACTTTGTAGGATGGGTAGAGATATTGCACTTTTGAGGGTCACTTGAATTTAGATATCTATACACTTCTGTCAGGATTTCTATTAAAGGAATGATGGTGATATAAATTAACCCATCCCTTGTTTTCCCATTGAACTGACAGGGAAGGGGGTTATTTTTTCTTGCCCAGCAAGTAACTATTTACCCTATTAGCCAACTCTGTTTTTTGGTATGATTTTCATGATATTCAACCTAAGCTGGAAGTAGGTGGCAACTAGGCCTCACCACTGAACTGGGTGACGGAACAGTTGTGTCTAGGCAGCTAACAGATGGGCCTGCACAGGCCCAGTGTGATTGGTTGATGTATCTTGGCTAGACTTATTCCTGGCCATGTTTTGAATTTAAAATAGAGCAGTAGTATCATTATTGCATTCACCAGGAAGGCTAAACCCATAGGAGTCATACAATACCTGGGTTGGGAATGGGAGGCAGTCATGTTCAATCTAAGGAAGAGGAGGTAAAGTCCAATTCCTTGGATCAAGAGTCCCTCACCAGGGTCAAGGTATCTTCATTGAAAGAAGAAAAGGCAGTAATTATCTCATTCTGCATTTCAGTTTTGGGTTCATTTCTTCTTGGTAGGAGATGACCTAGCTATTCCTGGAACAATCCTTACCCTTACCATATTCTATTTTCTATGTTCCAAATTTTCTGCATTATATTCACACCACACATTCCTCTCCAGCATAACAATTCTACTGTTTTATGCCTTTTTCTCACTGCAGTGTTTAAAACCCATGCCTCACACCCATATAAATGTGTTCCATTGCTTGTGGCTGACAGACTTAGAAAGCCATTACAGCCTGGCTGATCTGGCACTGGAGGAGGTAGTGATCCAATTTCTTCTTGAACATTTTCTTTGTTCTACAATGTTTCTGATATCTGCTGGTACATGTGAACATAAGAAAAAAGCACTGCAGCAGGCCTACTGGGCCATGCTAGGCAAGTCCAACTCACACCTATTCACATACTTGTCAAACTTATTTTTTAAAGCTACACGAAGTTTTTGCTTCGGTGACACTACTCAAGAGTTTGTTCCACTAATAGAAAAGGAGATAGTCACTGTCTGGATTTCATTAGTCATCTTGATATAAATCTTTCACTGATATACATTTTGGGACTGTATTTCCTGTAAATTAACATATTTGTGGATTAGATTTCTGTCAGCTCATAATTTTCAGGATTGTTGCTTGCAGATTGTAATATTTTTTTAGGTTTCTCATAACTTAAAATTTTAGTGGTTTCTTCAGATTATAACTTTCATTTATTATACTGTACAGTGGAACCCCGAGTTTCGTACTTAATCCATTCCAGGAGCTAGTACTAAAGTCAAAACATCCTAAAGTCAAAGCAATATTTCCCATAAGAATTAATGTAAATACAGTTAATCCATTCCAAGGAGTTGGGAATCCCCCTCCATAAGGACTTCAAGTATCAAATTCCTTTAGTGTTATTTCCCTTCTTTGTCTTTTACTGCTACAGTACATTCATTACTTACCTTAAAATATTTGTAGTCTTAATGTAGGGCGAGAGGTAAGTAGCATTTATTTGTAGGAATTCAGTGTAGGTAGCCTGTTGATGTAGGTACACGTATGTAGCCCCCCTGAGCTACACTACACAGCCATATTATTACACTACACAACCAGTCATAGATGGATTAATGAAAATGTCTATATTAACCTAAAATAAGACATTTAATATGCCCAAGAGTGATTATTATTAAACATACATCGCATATAAACATTGCACGTTTTTATATATACTATGTAACGTGTTTCTTACATAAATTTGAAGAAAATATCATAGGTGGATTAATGAAAATGTCTATATTCACTCGAGGAGAAACAAAGCCACACTGACTCACAACTGTGGGGGCAGGCAGACAGGTCTGGTACATGGAATGAAACAGGGCACAGTGCGAAACTTGGGACAAAATTGAGTCGAAAAAAAACCAGTTCTAAGCTTGAAGCGTACGATAGTCAGGGTGTACAAAACTTGGGGTTCCACTGTACTTATAATGCACATACACTTTAAAAAAATTAATGACACTCTTTTTTGCAGGACACTGTACTGTGCCAAAGGTAATTACGAGTTTGGTATTTCCCGAGTGATCAAGAGTCTGGAGCCTTACAACAAGAAGCTGGGAACTGACACCTGGTTAGTTTCTTGGGAATCATTTGTGTGGTAGCAATTCATTGTAGTGAGGAATGATTTAAATATTATCAATTGGAGCTTTATCACCAGAGTGAGCCTTGTAGTGTTTTGAATTATAACACACGTGAGTACTATAAGGTATTAATCAGGAATTCAGGAAAATGGTAGCTAGACTTGAATTTTGGAAGTGAAAGCACAGTGCCTGCATTCTGAAGGTTTTGTGGGATGTTAATACATATAACTGTATTCTTGGGAAAACTTTAAACATAGGGGTCATACAGTACTAGAGGAATCAGGTTGGACACAAGGAAGGGAAGGTTAGCTCTGTTTTTTTATATCAAGAGTTCATCATTGGCACCAGGGTACCCGTCCCCTCACTGGAGGGTACAAAAGCAGAGAAGGCGAATGAATCTCTAAAAAGAATTATGAAAAGGAGAAACTTGTACAAATATAGTATGGGGAAGTGGAACAGAATTCTTCCTCCGTAAAATGCTGGGAGCAAGGGGTTAGTAACCCCTTCTCCTGTATATATTACTAAATTTAAAAGGAGGAACTCTCATTTTTCCTTTTGAGCCACCCCACCTTGGTGGGATATGGCTGGTACGTTGAAAGAAGAAGACAGTAGATGTCTTGCTTCTCTGATTTATAGCAACAAGGTCTGGACAAGCTGTGACATACTAACCTAGAATTCAAGTTCTTGAAATGAGTTATTCAAGAAATTAATTTCATTGAAGGAATAAGTAATAATAATATAATTAAATTAATATGGAACCCCAAGTCATTCAGCAAAGGAATAAGTGGAGTATTATGGCAGTGCAGAAGATAATCATACATGAGGTGTATGATTAGTGAATAAGTTAAAAGACAGCATTTATAGTAGTTGAACTACATGAAGTTATTGAAATGTTGCACTCGTGTGTAGATCTATTAAATATTTTAAGGATTTATGAGGTACATACTGTAGACTGGAAAGCTATCTTCTAAATATATACAAAACAAAAATTTATGAATCTAGGTAGTAGGTTGGTAGACACCAACTGCCCAGGGAGGTACTACTGTCCTGCCAAGTGAGTGTGAAACCGAAGCCTATAATTGTTTTACATGATGGTAAGATAGCTGGTGTCTTTTTCCTGCATCATAAACATTCAAGGTTTCAGGTACATCTTGCTACTTCTGCTTGCATTTAGGTTACACTACACATGCATGTACAAGCAAATGTATATACAAGCCCCTCTGGCTTTTCTTCTATTTTCTTATTAGTTCTTGTTCTTGTTTATTTCCTCCTATCTCCATGGGGAAGTGGAACAGAATTCTTCCTCTGTAAGCCATGCGTGTCGTAAGAGTAAGGGGCTAGTAACTCATTCTCCTGTATACATTACTAAAGTTAAAAAGCAGAAACTTTCGTTTTTCTTTTTGGACCACCCTGCCTCAGTGGGATATGGCTGGTTTGTTGAAAAAAAGAAGAAAAATTATGTGCAACTTTCTTTTCTCTGTTTTAGCAATGTCCCATATGATAACACTTAATGTTACTCACATTGGATCATAAATTGTATTACAGCCATTCTTGATATATTGTTTAGTATGTGCTTTTAATTCACACATTATATTCATATAGGTAGTAGGTTGGTAGACAGCAACCACCCAGGGAGGTACTACCGTCCTGCCAAGCGAGTGTAAAACGAAAGCCTGTGATTGTTTTCCATGATGGTAGGATTGCTGATGTCTTTTGTCTGTCTCATAAATATGCAAGATTACAGGTATGTCTTGCTACTTCTACTTACATTTAGGTCACACTACACATACATGTACACATTTATTTATACACACTCATCTGAGTTTTCTTTGATTTTATCTTAATAGTTCTTGGTCTTATTACTTTTCCTTTTATATCCATGGGGAAGTGGAATAAGAATCTTTCCTCCGTAAGCCATGCGTGTTGTAAAAGTCAACTAAAATGCCGGGAACAATGGGCTAGTAACCCCTTTTCCTGTAAAGATTACTAAAAAGAATAAGAAGAAAATTGTCAAAGTGGGAAGTCTGAATGTGCATGGATGTTGTGCAGATGATAAGAAAGAGATGATTGTGGATGTTATGAATGAGAAGAAGCTGGATGTCCTGGCTTTAAGTGAAACAAAGCTGAAGGGGGTGGGAGAGTTTCAGTGGAGAGGAATAAATGGGATTAGGTCAGGGGTTTCAAATAGAGTTAGAGCTAAAGAAGGAGTAGCAATAATGTTGAAGGATAAGCTATGGCAGGAAAAGAGGGACTATAAATGTATTAATTCAAGGATTATGTGGAGTAAAATAAAGATTGGATGTGAAAAGTGGGTTATAATAAGTGTGTATGCACCTGGAGAAGAGAGAAGTGTAGAGGAGAGAGAGAGAGATTTTGGGAAATGTTGAGTGAATGCGTGGGGAGTTTTGAATCAAGTGTGAGAGTAATGGTGGTTGGGGATTTCAATGCTAAAGTGGGTAAAAATGTTATGGAGGGAGTAGTAGGTAAATTTGGGGTGCCAGGGGTAAATGTAAATGGGGAGCCTTTAATTGAGCTATGTGTAGAAAGAGATTTGGTAATAAGTAATAAATATTTTATGAAAAAGAGGATAAATAAATATACAAGGTATGATGTAGCACGTAATGAAAGTAGTTTATTAGATTATGTATTGGTGGATAAAAGGTTGATGGGTAGGCTCCAGGATGTACATGTTTATAGAGGGGCAACTGATATATCGGATCATTATTTAGTTGTAGCTACAGTTAGAGTAAGAGGTAGATGGGAAAAGAGGAAGGTGGCAACAAGTAAGAGGGAGGTGAAAGTGTATAAACTAAGGGAGGAGGAAGTTCGGGTGAGATATAAGCGACTATTGGCAGAAAGGTGGGCTAGTGCAAAGATGAGTAGTGGGGGGGGGTTGAAGAGGGTTGGAATAGTTTTAAAAATGCAGTATTAGAATGTGGGGCAGAAGTTTGTGGTTATAGGAGGGTGGGGGCAGGAGGAAAGAGGAGTGATTGGTGGAATGATGAAGTAAAGGGGGTGATAAAAGAGAAAAAGGTGGCTTATGAGAGGTTTTTACAAAGCAGAAGTGCTATAAGAAGAGCAGAGTATATGGAGAGTAAAAGAAAGGTAAAGAGAGTGGTGAGAGAGTGCAAAAGGAGAGCAGATGATAGAGTGGGAGAGGCACTGTCAAGAAATTTTAATGAAAATAAGAAAAATTTTGGAGTGAGTTAAACAAGTTAAGAAAGCCTAGGGAAAGTATGGATTTGGCAGTTAAAAACAAAGTAGGGGAGTTAGTAGATGGGGAGATGGAGGTATTAGGTAGATGGCGAGAATATTTTGAGGAACTTTTAAATGTTAAGGAAGAAACAGAGGCAGTAATTTCATGCACTGGTCAGGAAGGTATACCATCTTTTAGGAGTGGAGAAGAGCAGAATGTAAGTGTGGGGGAGGTACGTGAGGCATTACGTAAAATGAAATGGGGTAAAGCAGCTGGAACTGATGGGATCATGACAGAAATGTTAAAAGCAGGGGGGGTATAGTGTTGGAGTGGTTGGTACTTTTGTTTAATAAATGTATGAAAGAGGGGATTGGCGGAGAGCATGTATAGTCCCTTTATATAAAGGGAAAGGGGACAAAAGAGACTGTAAAAATTATAGAGGAATAAGTTTACTGAGTATACCAGGAAAAGTGTACAGTAGGGTTATAATTGACAGAATTAGAGGTAAGACAGAATGTAAGATTGCGGATGAGCAAGGAGGTTTCAGAGTGGGTAGGGGATGTGTAGCATATATGTGAAGCATATATGTGAACAGTATTTAGATAAAGGTAGGGAAGTTTTTATTGCATTTATGGATTTAGAAAAGGCATATGATAGAGTGGATAGAGGAGCAATGTGGCAGATGTTGCAAGTATATGGAATAGGTGGTAAGTTATTAAATGCTGTAAGAGTTTTTATGAGGATAGTGAGGCTCAGGTTAGGGTGTGTAGAAGAGAGAGAATACTTCCCGGTAAAAGTAGGTCTTAGACAGGGATGTGTAATGTCACTATGGTTGTTTAATATATTTATAGATGGGGTTGTAAAGGAAGTAAATGCTAGGGTGTTCTTGAGAGGGGTGGGATTAAATTTTGGGGAATCAAATTCAAAATGGGAATTGACACAGTAAATTTTTGCTGATGATACTGTGCTTATGGGAGATTCTAAAGAAAAATTGCAAAGGTTAGTGGATGAGTTTGGGAATGTGTGTAAAGGTAGAAAGTTGAAAGTGAACATAGAAAAGAGTAAGGTGATGAGGGTGTCAAATGATTTAGATAAAGAAAAATTGGATTGCGTTGAGGTATATGTTTAGTCAAAAAACGTTATCTATGGAGGCAAAGAAGGGAATGTATGAAAGCATAGTAGTACCAACACTCTTATATGGGTGTGAAGCTTGGGTGGTAAATGCAGCAGCGAGGAGACGGTTGGAGGCAGTAGAGATGTCCTGTCTAAGGGCAATGTGTGGTGTAAATATTATGCAGAAAATTCGGTGTGTGGAAATTAGGAAAAGGTGTGGAGTTAATAAAAGTATTAGTCAGAGGGCAGAAGAGGGGTTGTTGAGGTGGTTTGGTCATTTAGAGAGAATGGATCAAAGTAGAATGACATGGAAAGCATATAAATCTATAGGGGAAGGAAGGCGGGTTGGAGAGAGGGGGTAAAGGAGGTTTTGTGGGCAAGGGGCTTGGACTTCCAGCAAGCGTGCATGAGCGTGTTAGATAGGAGTGAATGGAGACAAATGGTACTTGGGACCTGACGATCTGTTGGAGTGTGAGCAGGGTAATATTTAGTGAAGGGATTCAGGAAAACCGGGTTTTTTTCATATAGTCGGACTTGAGTTTCCCGGAAATGGGAAGTACAATGCCTGCACTTTAAAGGAGGGGTTTGGGATATTGGCAGTTTGGAGGGATATGTTGTGTATCTTTATATGTGTATGCTTCTAAACTGTTGTATTCTGAGCACCTCTGCAAAAACAGTGATAATGTGCGAGTGTGGTGAAAGTGTTGAATGATGATGAAAGGATTTTCTTTCTTTTTTGGGTCACCCTGCCTCGGTGGGAGACGGCCAACTTGTTGAAAAAAAAAAATTATATTAATTTTCATAGTATAATAGGGATCTAAATTATGATGTGGATATTTGTCACTAAGTACAGGAAGGCCCCACTTATACGGCGGGTTAGGTTCCAGGCTACCGCCGTAAAGCGGAAACCGCCGTAAAGTGGAACACCCTTTTTTTCCACTTATAAATGCATACAAACACTAGATAACAAGTTTACACTAACATATATTAAGTTAGCAATAGAACCAGGCATCAAAAAACAATAAAAAGGTACAATACAAACATAGTGCACTCTATTACTTACCTTAAAATATTTATAGTCTTAATCTAGGGTGAGACAAGTAGTATTTATTGTAAGAAATCAAGTGTGGTATGTATTGTAATAGCCAGGCTACCTCACCAGGCCACCCCCCCCACAATACTTTCTATGATATTTAAGCAGGGCAGGAAAAGGGGACAAAAATTTTAATTCAAGGTTATGTGGGGGTAAATAAAGTTTGGATGTGAAATTGGGTTTAAAAAAGTGTGTATGCCCCTGGGAAGAGAGAAGTGTAGAGGAGGAGAGAGAGATTTTGGGAAATGTTGAGTGAATGCGTGGGGATTTTTGAATCAAGGGGGGGTAAAGGGTGGTTGGGGATTTCAATGCAAAAGTGGGAAAATGTTTGGAGGAGTATGGAAAATTTGGGGTGCCGGGGGTAAATGTAAATGGGGAGCCCTTATTGAGCTTGTGTAGAAAGAGATTTGGTAATAATTTAAACATTTTTATAAAAAAAGGAGGATAAATAAATATCGGGTATGTTGCACGTAAGAAAGTATTTATTGATTAGGGTTTGGTGGATAAAAGGTTGATGGGTGGGTCCAGGATGTAATGTTTAAAAGGGGGGCAATTATTTTTGGCCCTTTATTTAGTTGTAGCTACTTTTAGAGTAGAGGAGATGGGAAAAAGAAGGGGGGCAACAAGTAAGAGGGGGGTGAAAGTTTTAAAAATAAGGGAGGGGGAAAGTTGGGGGTGGATTAAGCGACTTTTGGGCAAAAGGTGGCTAGTGAAAAGATGAGTGGGGGGGGGGGTTGAGAGGGTTGGAATAGTTTTAAAAATGCGATTAAATGTGGGGCAGAATTTGGGGTTTTATGGGAGGGGGGGGGGCAGGAGGAAAAAGGGTGATTGGGGGAATGAGAAGTAAGGGGGGATAAAAGAGAAAAAGGGTGGCTTATAAGGGGTTTTTTTAAAAGCAAAGTGCTAAAGAAGAGAGGTTATGGAGAGTAAAAAAAGGAAAAGAGAGTGGGAGGGGTGCAAAAGGAGGAATGATAGAGTGGGGGGGGACGTCAAGAAATTTTAATGAAAAAAAGAAAAATTTTGGAGTGAGTTAAACAAATTAAGAAAGCCTAGGGGAAATATGGATTTGGCAGTTAAAAAAAAGTAGGGGGGTTGTAGAGGGGGATGGAGGTAAAAGGTAATGGCGGAAAATTTTGAGGAATTTTAAATGTTAAAAGGGAAAAAACAAGGCAGTTTTCATGCATGGTCAGGAAGGTATACCTCTTTTAGAGTGGAGAAGAGAAATGTAATGTGGGGGAGGTACGGAGCATTACGTAAAATGAAAGGGTAAAACAGCGGAACTGATGGGATATGACAGAAGTTAAAAGCAGGGGGGGTATAGTGTTGGATGGTTGGTACTTTTTTTTTAATAAAAGTATGAAAGAGGGATTGGGGGAGAGCTGTATGTCCCTTTATATAAGGGAAAGGGGACAAAGAGACTGTAAAAATTTTATAGGGAATAAGTTTACTGAGTTTACCAGGAAAAGGGTACGGTAGGGTTTTTAATTGACAGAATTAGAGTAAGACAGAATGTAAGATTGCGGATGACCCAAGGAGGGTTTCAGAGTGGGTAGGGGATGTGTAGCATATATGTGAAGCATATATGTGAACAGTATTTAGATAAAGGGTAGGGAAGTTTTTTATTGCTTTTTATGGATTTAGAAAAGGCTTTATGATAGAGTGGATAGAGGAGCAATGTGGCAGATGTTGCAAGTAGTATATGGAATAGGTGGTAAGTTATTAAATGCTGTATGAGTTTTTATGAGGTTTAGTGAGGCTCAGGTTAGGGTGTGTAGAAGAGAGAGAATACTTCCCGGTAAAAGTAGGTCTTAGAAAGGGATGTGTAATGTCACCATGGTTGTTTAATATATTTATAGATGGGGTTGTTAAAAGGGAAGTAAATGCTAGGGTGTTCTTGAGGGGGTGGGAAATTTAAAAATTTTGGGGGAAACAAATTCAAAATGGGGAAATTTACACAGTAAATTTTTGCTGTGATACTGTGCTTATGGGAGATTCTAAAGAAAAAATTTTCAAAGATAGTGGATGAGTTTGGGAATGTGTGTAAAAGGGAGAAAGTTGGAAAGTGAACATAGAAAAGAGTTAAATGATGAGGGTGTCAAATGATTTAGATAAAGAAAAATTGGATTGCGTTGAGGTATATGTTTAGTCAAAAAAAAAGTTATCTATGGAGGCAAAGAAATGAATGTATGGGAAAGTATAGTAGTACCAACACTCTTATATGGGTGTGAAGCTTGGGTGGTAAATGCAGCAGCGAGGAGACGGTTGGAGGCAGTAGAGATGTCCTGTCTAAGGCAATTTTGTGGTGTAAATTTTATGCAGAAAATTCGGAGTGTGGAAATTAGGAAAAGGTGTGGGAGTTAATAAAGTATTAGTCAGGGGGCAGAAGGGGGGTTGTTGAGGTGGTTTGGTCATTTAGAGAGAATGGATCAAAGTAGAAATGACAGGGAAAGCATATAAATCTATAGGGGAAGGAAGGCGGGTTGGAGAGAGGGGGTAAAGGAGGTTTTGTGGGCAAGGGGCTTGGACTTCCAGCAAGCGTGCATGAGCGTGTTAGATAGGAGTGAATGGAGCAAATGGTACTTGGGACCTGACGTTTCTGTTGGAGTGTGAGCAGGGTAATATTTAGTGAAGGGATTCAGGGAAACCGGTTATTTTCATATAGTCGGACTTGAGTCCTGGAAATGGGAAGTACAATGCCTGCACTTTAAAGGAGGGGTTTGGGATATTGGCAGTTTGGAGGGATATGTTGTGTATCTTTATATGTGTATGCTTCTAAACTGTTGTATTCTGAGCACCTCTGCAAAAACAGTGATAATGTGCGAGTGTGGTGAAAGTGTTGAATGATGATGAAAGGATTTTCTTTCTTTTTTGGGTCACCCTGCCTCGGTGGGAGACGGCCAACTTGTTGAAAAAAAAAATTATATTAATTTTCATAGTATAATAGGGATCTAAATTATGATGTGGATATTTGTCACTAAGTACTTATATAGAATTTGTAACAGCTAGATACCTTTGTTTTCAGGTATTATGCCAAGAGATGTTTTCTTTCCCTCATAGAAAACTTAGCCAAGCACATGATAACTGTCAAAGACTCAGTCATTCAAGAGTGTATACAATTTCTGGAGCACTGTGAAGGTACGTCTTATTAAATTTTATTTATTTCACGGAAAGTATTAAACCTCTAGAGGTCATACAGTGACTTAATGAATGTAGGGCAGTCAGATTCTATCTAAGAAAAGAGGCTATACTCAACATGCTTATTTCTCTATAATTTTACATTCTTGCCCCCCCCCTCGTGCAAGAAAACTATGCATGCTCTATACGAATATACTAACGACTCCAACACTATCCCCACCTGCTTTTAACATTTCCATCTTAATCCTGCCTATCCCAGCTGCTTTACCCCCATTTTATTCTACCCACTACCTCATGAGCTTGCCCCACATCCACCTCAGTCATGTACAGTGTTATACCTCCTTGCTGAATGCATGAAATTACCACCTCCCTTTCACATAAACATTCAACTGGTCAAAATATTCTCTCCATTTTTCCAGTACCTCTACTTCTCCATCTTATATTATCATCACCTAGGAAATGGGAGGTATAGCTTTCTTTTGCTTTAAGCAGGTTCACCATTGTGTGAAGCCATATTTCTACCAGTTTACTTCTGTATTACAATGCATTAAAATAAGACACAATGTGTAGGTTATGGCATTTATTTATGAAGACATTTTGTCCACCAGGGACTTCATCAATTCATAGAATAAAACATGGGTATGTATAGTGATTATGGACAGGTCCCAAAGTGAAAAAAATACTATTGCAATGTGAGCACCTGACAAAGTAGGTGAGGTTATCATATACTGTACAATCACCATTTGCAATCATTGTGGTTCACAAAGTGTACTGACGATTTTTGTTATACAGAGTTAAGTGTTGACAGTCTGATTAAGCTCAGTGCAGACGCCATAACACGTGTGCTGCATAAAGCTAGGAATACTTGTAACCAGGGTTGATTCAAGGAAAGGGAGAGTATATACAGTGTTAAGCTACATCATTGAAGCTTAATCATCAGAATCAGAAACTTACACAATAAAACTGGATATACTGGAATTTTATTAGGGATAAGTATGCAGAGGTGGTAGCATCGTCTTGACAAATGCAGTGATACTAAAAAGTCAAAAGTCGAAAGTTATGGTAGATTAAGTTAGGTTGTCCTGCAACTTTTCTTCCCTATATTCAGTGATACAATGGTTTATGATAAAATCTTAAATTTTATCAAGTTCAATTGTTATTCCCAGTATTATCAAAATCATGCCTTGAACCTATATGAATCACACAGTTACCAGGTTATAAATTCTCTAAAGATATATACAGCCTCTCCTCACTTCACAACGGGGTTCAGTTCCTAAGAGTAGGTCAGTAAGCGAATTGGTCATTAAGCGAGAAGTATACTATACTGGTAGTGGGTGTGTGTCAACCATCTTTAGATATTTCTTTTTGTCACCTTTGCACCATTTATAACATTTCTGGTATATTTTAAAATGTTTATACAGTAGTTTAATGTATAGTGTAATAAACAGAATAGAGGAAGTCAGCTCTTATATACATTATTTAGGTTTGCATACTGGTTGGAGAGCTGGTCGTAAGTCCAAGTGCTCAGTAAATGAGTACGTTGTTAAGTGAGGAGAGGCTGTAATGTATTTGTAACATAAGGTGTACTGTATTATAAAAGATACTTTATAAGTTATAGCTATACAACATTATTAATGTGAATATGATAATAGTATACAATAATGACGAGTTGATTAGAGTAGTTAGTAGGCAAAACGTTTCAGGACGGTGAAATCTGCCTGGAAGAAATTGTGGCCTGACTGTGTGTCTGGAGTATACCTGGAATGGCTTTCAGGGGTCAATGCCCCCATGGCTTGGTCTGAGACCAGGCCTTGTGGTGGATCAGGGTCTGATCAACCAGGCTATTACTGCTGGCCATACACAAACTGACATACAAACCATAGCCCAGCTGGTCAGGTACTGACTTTAGGTGCCTGTACAGTGCCTTCTTGAAGACAGCCAAGGGTCTATTGGTAATCCCCTTATGTATCCTGGGAGGCAGTTGAAGAGTCTTGGGTCCCTGACACTTATTGGTGTTGTCTCTCAGTGTACTTGTGGCACCCCTGCTTTTCATTGGAGGAATGTTGTGTCTCCTGCCGAGTCTTTTGCTTTCATAGGGAGTGATTTTCGTGTGCAAATTTGGTACTAATCCCTCTAGGATTTTCCAAGTGCATCTTTCTCACTTGCATTCCAGGGAATACAAATCAAGGGACTTCAACCTTTCCCAGTAATTTAGGTGCCTAATAATACTTATGTGCCGTGAAAGTTCTTTGTACACTCTCCAGGTCAGCAATTTCACCTGCCTTGAAAGGGGGCAGTTAGTGTACAGCAGTATTCCAGCCTAGAGAGAACAAGCGATTTGAAGAGAATCATCATGGGCTTGGCGTCTCAAGTTTTGAAGGTTCTCATTATCCATCCTATCATTTTCCTAGCATATGCAGGAGATACATTGTTGTGGTCTTTGAAGGCAAGATCCTCTGACATTATCATTCCTAGGTCCTTCACATTACTTTTTCGCTCTATTGTATGGTTAGAATTTGTTGTATACCCTGATACAGTTTTAATTTCCTCAAGCTTTCCATATCTGTGTAGTTGAAATTTCTCTTCATTGAACGTATTGTTTTGAGTGGCCCAATTGATGATTTGGTTTATGTCTTGCTGTGTCTTCGATCGATGGAGGACACTGTCATTGCAATTCAGGTGTCATCTGCAAAGGAAGACATCTCTGTCTTGCATCTCTATGTCAGATATGAGGATGAGGAATAGGATGGGAGCGAGTACTATGCCTTGTGGAACAGAGCTTTTCATTGTAGCTGCCTCAGACTTTGCTGTTTACTATTACTCTGTGTTCTATTTGTCAGGAAGTTATAGATCCATCTACCAACTTTAACTATTATTCCTTTATCACACATTTTGTGTGCTATTACACCATGGTCACACTTGTCGAAGACTTTTCAGTCTCTGTATGCTACAGCTACATTTTGTTTATCCTCTATTGCATCCAAAACCTTGTCATAGTGGTCCAGTAGCTGGGACAGGCAGGAGCGACCTGCTTTAAATCCATGTTGCCCTGGGTTGTGTCACTGATAGGTATCTAGGTGGTTGGTGATCTTGCTTCTTAGAACCCTTTCAAAGATTTTTATGATATGGAATGTTAGTGCTATTGGTCTGTAGTTCTTTGCAATTGCTTTATTGCCACCTTTGTAGAGTGGGGCTATTATTATTATAATAATAAAAAAGAAGTGCTAAGCCAATAGAGTGGGGCTATGTCTGTTGTTTTTAGTGAGTGTGGGATGACCCCTCTGTCCATGCTCCCTCTCCATAGAATGCTGAATGCATATGACAGGGGCTTCTTGCAGTGCTTGATGAACACTGAGTTCCACAAGTCTGGGCCTAGGGCAGAGTGCATGGGCATGTCATTTATTGCCTTTTCAGAGAATTGTAGTGTTAGGATAATATCAGAGATTTTTGAGATGACCAAATTTTGGGTCTTGTTCATAAAGAATTCATTTGGATTGTTGACCCTTACTGTGGGTAACAAATCACTGAACACTGAGTTGTATTGAGAAGCAGTAAGGGCAACATTTCCACTGCAGAAATTAAGGAACTCTGTTACCATTGGGCTCAAACACAGGATGCCATTTTTTCCACCAGGCTCTAACATTACTGTTCTGAATAGGAGCATCAACCTGTTCAATAACTATGTTGTTGACCACTTTAAAAAAAAATTTTAGTCATCAAAAGCAGACATTGGACAGCTTCCTTATAAAAAAATCAAATGCTACTGAATTCCCATCAAGTGCCACTGCACAGAGACAAAAAGAAAAAAAAAAAAAGACAGGCAGTTACCTAATGTTTTTATGGAAGGCAACACCCCTTCCAAACCATAACATCTCTCCACCTTCCTCTTAGGCCATCAGTATTCCTCAGTAAAGGTAAAGTGCAGCTAAATTTTCATTATTTCATGTATGATTTTGTGCATGCAGTTATTATTATACAGGTTTAAATAAGCAATATTTTAACATTTTATGTTTTGTAATGATAATTTTTCGGGGTCTGGAATAAATTAATCCAGTTTACACTATTTCTTACAGGAGAAATTTATTCAATATTTGTATAACTTGCTATTCCAACAGCCTCCTGGAATGGATTAAGTTCGAATATTGAGGTACCACTGTAATAGTATTAGTAAGTCAAACGAACAGAAGAGCACTGCAAGCAATTTGGCTGGAGTTAGACAGGACTAGGGATAGAACAGTTGAGAGTAAATTACATCTAAAGGTATTAGAGATCAGAGTAACTAAACACTAACACACATCTCCAAAGGGCAGATCACTTCAGTATGCTAAATGGCTCGTGCTATGAAGAAAAGGAAGCAAGAAAGACAGGAAAGGCAAAAGAAAAACACAGGTTCAGAGAAAAAAGAGAGGGCAAAGGTTGGGTCAAGTCACATGTGTTCTAAAGATTAGAGCTTTTGACAGTGCATTGAGAAGGGCAGGCATCTACATGGAATGTAGATGCCTGCCCTGCCCTACATTGGAATGTTATTAACGAAGTTTATCTTTTCAGTGTATGGAAGGAATGTGAAGGGGGTAATAGAACATCCATTAGAAGAAATGGCCATCCATCCTGGAAAGAACACTGTCACATACGAGTCAAGGCTTCTGAAAGCTCTACTTTTACAGATTCAGCGCATGTAATTTTAAGACAATTGGGAATACAGTAATGCCTGCATATTTTTCTAGTCATTTATATTTTAATTATCTGCCATTATTATTATAATCAAAATGAAGTGTTAAACCTACAAGGGTCAATACTTTGCCATAACATACAAAAATGTTTTATCATACTATGGGTGGTAAGAACCTGTCCAGTACACTGTACTGTATACTGACTTAGTAACATTCATAAGAAGTAAATAGAGTTTATCAATACTGCATATACACGTATACAAAGTCCAGTACGTGACTGATTACTGTTTAACATTTTGCAGCTGAAAAAAACAAATTATATTCAAATACACAAAAAAGAAATATTATAAGTTATATTCATAAGGCACTAAACTTGGGTGGATAGTTTTAAGTGTATAAGAGTGCATTAAAAATAAACTTGTATATCAAAATATTTACTTTTTAATTATGATACAAATCGCTTGTTCTCTCTAGGCTGAAATACTGCTGTAAACTAAGAACTTTCATGCCACACACAAATTACTGGGAATGGTTGAAGTCCCTTGATTTGTATTCCCTGGAATGTAGGCGAGAAAGATACATGATAATATACACTTGGAAAATCCTAGAGGGATTGGTACCAAACTTGCACATGAAAATCACTCCCTATGAAAGCAAAAGACTCAGCAGGAGATGCAACATTCCCCCAATGAAAAGCAGGGGCACCACGAGTACACAGAGACAACACAATAAGTGTCAGGGGTTCAAGACTGTTCAACTGCCTCCCAGCATACGTAAGGGGTATTACCAATAGACCCCTGGCTGTCTTCAAGAAGGCGCTAGACAAGCACCTAAAGTCAGTACCTGACCAGCCGGGCTGTGGTTCGTACATCAGTCTGTGTGCGACCAGCAGTAACAGCCTGGTTGATTAGACCCTGATCCACCACGAAGCCTGGTCTCAGACTGGGTCACAGAGGCGTTGACCCCCAAAACCCCTCTCCACGTATACTCCAGGATACTTGTGGGTAACTGAGCTGTTGAGAATGACTGATGCTCCTAATAAAATATAATAGAATAAATAAGGAACACAAAAGCACTTCAGTAGATCTACTGACCACATATGTGTATATGTGCATCCTACTAACACCCATGATGGTCTCAGCTTCTAATAATGACTTATATTTTATTGTAGTCAGGAAGAACTAAGCCCACAGTTCAAAGATAGCCAAGTTCAGTTCCTTGGATCATGAGCCCCTCACCAGCACTAATCTTGATAGGATTGCATCCCAAAGCTACTGAGGGTCAGGCTTAGACAATCCAGAAACAAGCAGTACATATATTAGCTGTAATATTATTATCTGTATTATACTGTATCCAAAATAGAAATGCTAACTTGTGTAGGGTCATACACTGCTGTTATAAATTTGTAATGTTTTAGACTAATTCTGAATACTAGCTGAGCATTCCCCCACACATTTGTATAACCTAGTGCATTTTTAGTTTCTATATATGAAGTATGTATTTGCCACTATGCTGTACTGCACTTTTCTCTAAGTCAGAGCAATGTTATATGCATTACACCTATCATCAGCTGTGTTTAGTTTCCTAATTATTTCAGCCAAGGCCAAAAATTTAAATATAAAATTCCATTAATAAACTACTATGGTATATCTATGCAAGTTTTGAAGCTAACATATTTTTATAATTATGAAAAGCCCTTAAAACAAGCTGAATGTTACTGCTTCCTTTTCAAAATTAATAATACAGTTGGAGGAATGATAATATTGATAATTAGAGCTAGGATGAAAATCGTAACTACAGTGAAATACAATATTTTCCAGTTTATCATTCATCGAATATTAAAATGTCAGGTTTTCTTTTATTATTACTTAAAAATACAAGACAATATCACTAGAGTCCAGAAGGGAAAATAATAATTATCATAATTTCAATGTAACATTCTATGGAAGCTGCAGGTAAAAGATTGGCTCTGATCTTCCATGGGAGCTTTACTACTGCCCACAATTACAATTATTATATTCATGGGGAACTGCTAAACTCACAGGGTTCAAACAGTGGCTGGGAAATGTGAGGTAATCAGGTTATATCAGAGGTAGCAAAGAATACATATTTATCTGGATTCATTATACCTATAGAGGCCATACAATGCCTGGGAAATAAAAAGGTAAACAGGGTTTGATCTAAGGAAGGAATGATGGCACCAATTTCTTGGAAAAAGAGCCCTTCACCAGCATCAAGACACTCTTGAAGGGTCACACTTCATTAGCACACTGCACTCTGTTGAAAGTTACCCAGTCAAAAAAATAAATAAAAATTGAAGGTCTAGGGATAAGATCCAGTATTGCCAGGTGGTGTCACTGTATACATTTTACTTCAATACCAGTGAAAAAGAATAAACAAATGTTTAATTCATACAGCATTACAATATCTGTACTGTATACTGCAACAGTTCTATGGAAGTGCGTGAGGCAGCGGGCCGATTGAAAGGGGGTAAAGCAGCTTAGACAGAAGGGATTAAGCTATGTTAAAAGCAGGTGGAGATATAGTTTTGGAGTTGCTGGTGAAGTTGTTCAGTATATACACGAAAGAGAAAGTACCTAACAAGTGGCAGAAAAAATGAAACTTATGATAATGTTTAAGTCTGACTTGAACCACTGATCACACTAGTTAATGGTCCAAGTGCAGGTTGTGTGTGTATGAAAACCGTTATTTCAAAAACTGACCAATGACACTACCAGTGTACTCCCAAGTGCTAAGTCATTAATGAACAATAGGCATAAGAGGCAATCCTTTATGAACAATTGGAAGACCCTAAACTGTTAACACAGTTCCAGTTTTATTACCCTGAACACTAAAATTGCCAGTGACCTAGGAAAATTATTTTTTGAGCATGTTAAAAATGCAACAGATCAATCTTGAATCTAAAGAATCAAAGATATACAGTCTTGAGATTACAGAAAATAAGGCAGCTGACAAAATAGCCAAGATTGTGTGAGGTCTTGGGACCTGGAGGCTAGAAGCCTGATTGGCATTCCAGAGAGATCAACTAAGGATTGTAAGTGAATACTCAGTTAGGCTCAGTATATTGTATTCCCCTATCCTCAATTATCCTATTTTCTTTTTATTATCACACTGGCCGATTCCCACCAGGGCAGGGTGGCCCGAAAAAGAAAAACTTTCACCATCATTCACTCCATCACTGTCTTGCCAGAAGGGTGCTTTACACTACAGTTTTTAAACTGCAACATTAACACCCCTCCTTCAGAGTGCAGGCACTGTACTTCCCATCTCCAGGACTCAAGTCCGGCCTGCTGGTTTCCCTGAACCCCTTCATAAATGTTACTTTGCTCACACTCCAACAGCACGTCAATTCCCAATTATCTTAGTATCAGATCCTTTCTCTTTGACCAAGTATATTGTTGCAATAAGTATTAATAAAGTGTAATAGTGTGAAATATGGTATTCACTTTTCCCATCTCTAATATGTTTTGCTGTAAAAGACTGATCTGTGCATACCTAGTTAAGTGGAATTGTAGAGAGGGTAGAAGGATCTACCTTTCTTGCCCATGATATGACAAGGCTAGCCATGATGTAGGTAATTTTTTATTATAAAAGACCAACTCATGTGCTTTATTAAGACTGCCTGGAAGTTTATGCTGCCAAGTTTTATGCTACCATAATATATGAAAAAATAATTTGTCTTGGGGAAAGTGTAGATTACTATCTTGCCTATGGTAGGAAAGATTCTGGAAACCATTTCAAATATGTTTTCTCTAACCCCAGTGTTTGTGACCATGATGAGACCTTTCCTTCCCTGTGGTAGGAAATGATTTTCAGTGATGTTTGTGTAATTTGTCAGTTTCTTTAATATAATTTTGTTTTAACTATATTTGGTAAAGGAGATTAGGGTGTTGATAATGTTTAAGTGGGGAGAGTAATGATAGTTTTGTTTGAGAGATGTTGGGGAAAGAATCTCCAATTTATTTTGTATAGCAATTAAAGATATAATTTACAACCCAAAACAGTTCAGTAATATGCTGTATAAATTACCCACAAAAATAAAATACTGGAACTAACTCACAGTACACTAAATATCACAATACTGTATATACAAAGGGAGAATTCAATAGCATTACTTGTTTATTATACAATATGCTATGTCTTAAAAAGGAATCACAGATATGTGATGTTGAGAACTCCTAGTGGAAAAACTGCAGGCTGCCCAATCTCACCTTGTATCTACCTTTAATATCACGGATTCCAATGGTTTTATTCAGTGTGCATTCCATCATTAGACACGTTGAAATAATCATCAAAGCTAGAGTCGTTTCCATTGTTTCAGGAGCTTCAGGAAAATCTGGAAGCTGAAAAATGAAATACAAGACTTAATTCACAAGGCAATGTGGATACAGTTGTTATATATACAGGCATTGTGTTTTCACTCCATAGGGAAGTAGAGGGATACTTCCTCCATAAGCTGTGTGTATCATAGGATGCGAATAAAATGCTGGGAGCAAGAGGCTAGTAACCCCTTCTCTTGCATAAATTACTAAATGTAAAAAGATATTTTACATTTCTTCTTGGGGGGGGGGGGGAGGCCACCCTGCTTCGGTGAGAGAAGGCAGTTATGTTTGAAAAAAAAAAATAGTAGTATGTTAAAACCACCAGCAATTATCAGATAATTTTATTAAAACTATTGATCATCATGTTTCTTAAGCTGTCACTGAAGCTTTATACTGGATGGCCGGCCCTGCTATACAGCATTTTGCTTTACAGTTGCAGTTGTTTTCAATTATACCCATTCTTCATATATTCAGATTTCCTACAATAAATATATTCACCACTCACCTTAAAATAGTTTCATCCTTAGTTTATAGTAAGCATACTGTATATGCATTTTTTTAGGCCTCATTCTATTTCTATTATCAGGCTTTTATAGGCATTTGAAAGTGAAAAAAAGGCTATGATTCACTTTACAAAGATATTTGCTTTACAGCAGTAGCCCAGAACCTAACCTGCTGTACAAGCAGGACCCTCTTGTATATCTGTGTATAGTACAGTGGACCCCCAGGGTTACTTCCCTTCTTCTTTTAATGCCACTAGGACCAGCTTGAAAGTCACTGGACTTCTGTCGCACAACATATCTGTCCATAGAGGCCTGTACCTCTCATTCCTGTATGACTTTCCTAAAGTGCTTCACAACAGTGTCATTGTACAGGTTGCCAACACGGCTTGCAGTAGCTGTGTGAGGGTGATTTTCATCAAAAAAGCTTTGCACTTCAAGCCACTTTGCACACATTTCCCTAATCTTTGAAGTAGGCAACTTCTTCAATTTCTCCATCCCCTCCTCCAAAGCAGTTTCCTCAGGTCTGGCCTCTTGCTGTTGAAGATGATCTAGCAGCTCATCAGTAGTTAGTTCATCATTGTCCTCCT